CACTGCCGCCGATTGGGGGTACCCTACGCAAGGACCGAGCCCTTGCTTTGGTTTTGTGGTTTTGTGTTTTAGCTGGTTCGCTGCAGGTCTGGATGGCGAACTGCAAGAAAACATCCAGTATGATATAATGCTGATATACGATAGTGCCATAATATATTAATAATGTACTACTATATCAACAAGAACACTACTATAATGTACTGTACTATAATGCCATAATGCTAGTACAAGTGTATATGCCAGGCTGACTGCAGGCATGCTTCAAAATGTCGTCACCACCACCCAGTTGCATACGGGTTCATTGATCCGCGGGGCCGCTGGGATGAACTGGGTGGTGCAATGATCCGTGTGCTCACCTTTTCGTCGTGCCGAAGGGCAAAATGCTAGGAGCTGCCATACTGCGATCTGCTCGTTCAAGAAGAAACAAGGAGGGCTGTGCTCGCGTCCTCTAGGCAAAAATACCCTGTTGCGCTCTGGCTCGCTTTGTATCCAGCAATATGCTGCTTGCAAACTAAAAATCCTTTAGAACAGCGAATGTTCGCAATTAGGAGACCTCATGTGGTCTTTCTTTGGCCACTGAAAGTGACCAAGAAACATTGTATCAAGTCCAAGTGCGAAAAGGAGCTGGAACTGAACATTGGACGAAGAAACGGGCAGCTGGCATCACAGGCGGCGTGCAGAACGCCAGAGACGCCGATCACTGCAACGCCAAAAACATACGCATACACAAATTCCCAGCAACTCCACCCGCATCCCCGGATCTCCGCATGTCCATCCCTTCACGGAACCTCTCCCAAGCCTTCCCATTCTTGAACTAAGATGCCGAAACCTTCACTCCCTTTCGCTGGCCAGCTGCCCTGCGGCTCTCCAGGACGGTCAGCCGTCGGTTGAGCTGGTCTAGCCTGGGGCCCGCAGCGAAAATGGGTCCCGCCAGATCTGCGAGAAGCGCCTCTATATCGTCCAGCTTCTTCTCTACCCACTCGTCGATCTCCTGCTGCCTCTCCTCCCCCCACGCGCCGCCGAATTCCTCCTGCCAACTCCCCTGCCCCGAATGCCCGGGCGACAGCTTGCTGCCCGCCTCTGCGTCCGTTGCGCGCTCGCACACGGTGCGTGAGAATGTCCTCCCCAGCTGTCGAGAAGTCAGCCTGCGCAGCGGGAATCCCCCAGTATGGGGCTGTTCCGTCCACCCGCCTCCCCCACACTCCTCCTGCGAGCCGGTCGTCGTTCGTCTCCTCGTCGTCGGTCTCGGCGCAAGGTGCACCGTCCCGTCTTCCGAGTCTGTCCAGTGCTTCCGGACGGAGCCGGAGAACACCATGCCCACCTGGCGCGACGACAGCCGGCGTATCGCGAAGCGTCCATGGCCCTCTTTCCCCTCTCCCCTTGCGACGCCTTTCTCCTGCTCCCCCTGCAAATCTGCCCTCGGTACAGCGTGCTCGTCCCCATGCCGCTTGGACGCCCAAACCTGCGCCTCTGCATCGGCGCCCGCCCTCCCCTCTAGCCTCTGAAGCTCCAAATCGGTTTGAGCAGCCACTCCGTCAACCCACCGTGGTTGAAGGCCCCCTTGATCAGTTTCTGCCCTTCCCGCCACCTCATCGGATTTACTGGACCCTGGCACTGCTGCAAAACTTTCGACGCAATCGCCTTCTTCAGTCGTGAGCTCCTGCGACCTCAGATATGGAGACAGATCCCTTCTGGCCAGGATGCCGCCGCGCCACCCCCCCACCGAAGACCGCACCTTCTCCTTCAGCCGGAACGCGTTCAGCCGCCGCGCTGCGGCGTTCCGCACGCGCGCGGCGCTTTCAGGAAACAACTTAAAGGCCTCCGCCAGAACGGATGCGCTGAGTATGGCGACGTCGCACTGCGAGATGCAGACGACGGACGCCGTCCGCCTGGCGACGGAAAGCAGCGCGAGGTCGCCGAAGAATTTTCCCTCCCCCAGGATTGCCAGCGTCTCACCGTACTTGTTGATCACCGCCACGCAGCCCCTCATGACCACGCACAGCTCCTCCCCCACGTCCAGCTCTCGGAACACCGTCTCCCCGGGCGTGTACACGGCAAGCGCAAAGCCCATCGTGAGGTTGTTGAGAAAGTTGTCTTCGCACCCCGCGAATATGGGTATTGTCGCGAGCATGGCCTTGTACAGGCCGACGCAGATGTCCTGTGACAGGCCGTTTGGAAGGTCCCTCAGTAGATCCATGCCGCTGGGCCCTGGGTGCAGGTAGGCGACCAGCAGGTCGAAGTAATCGCCGATTCGGTGCCGCACGGCCCACGGCACCCCGAGGTAGCGCGTGGCGTCCTGGACCATGTCGGACGTGTGCTTGTGCTTTGCGCAGGTGCTGCTGATGGAGTTCACCAGCAGGGCCATGTTGCCGACGACGTTGGAGTAGAAGACCACGCCCAGGACGAGGCCCACCACGCAGATGCCGCGCTCGAGGTTGTTCAGCGGCTGCACGTTGTCCCCCACCATGACGAGGAACGCCCTGTAGATGACGTCCAGGAACTCCGTCGCGATGTCCTGCCCCTCCTCCCCCTTGCCCTCCAGCGCTTCCAGCCGCCACACGCTGCGCCCGCCTTCCAGCAGGTAGGCAACCTCCCAGGCGCAGGCTAGCCAGTGCGCGATGAGGCACATGAGGATCATGAGCTTGACGATCTTCATGCTGCTCGTCCCCTTGGTGCGCTCGAGGAAGCTGTTGCGCCGCAGCAGCCGCCCCAGGCGCAGCAGGCGCGGCGTCTTCAAGACGGCCACCAGAGCGAAGCCGCTGCTGTGCAGGCCGGCCAGGCTCATGATGTGCTCCACGGGCAGCGAGGCCAGGAGGTCGACCGCCAGCCAGGACCGGGCGTACTTCACCATTATCTTACTCGGGTCGTACACGACGTTGCCGTTGTCGGTGACGTAGCCTGTACGGAGGTTCAGCAGGATGTCCAGGAAGAAGAGCACGTCGATGACCACTTCCGCGTACTCCTCGCCGGCGGTCCGCTTGATGTCGAACCCCGCCTCCAGGGGCACCAGGATGGCGTTGTACACCACGAAGGTGATGATGAGCAGGTCCCAGTGCTGCCGCCGCCTGGAGGTGGGGTTGAGCACGGGCAGGTGCTGGTTGATCCACTGAAAGGCGAGCGCGGTCAGAGCCCAGGGGCGCAGCCAGCTCCTCGAGCCGCGGGCGCTCAGCACCTCGCTGGCCGCCCTCTCGTGGCGGTGCACCACTGAGTGGAGCGAATACAGCGTCTTCTTCTTCTTGGGCCAGACGCGCATGTCGGGAATGCGTCTGAGGCAGACGGCAAAACGACCAGGAGGTCACCGAAAGGCAAAGGTTGACGGACTGGCCTGCCCTCCGCGGTCGGCCTTGCCCTTCCAACCCGCCGGTGTGGTTCTCCCGGCGGCCCTGGCCGGAGGCGTGGGCGCCCGGCTGTGAGTCAGTTCAGGGCTTGCGGCGGCGCGACGGCTTTTGGAAAAGAGCGCGACGACTTTTGTCGAGAGCCGTCCCCTGTCGACGACCCTGTCAAAGGCGTAGAACTCGGCCAAAAGGGGGTCGGGGTCTGAGGGCGGGAGAGGGACAGTACATTCGACGGCGGTCGGCGGGAAGCGGAGAAGAGCCAATTGCGCCCCTCCAAGGGGAGTCGTCGCCTTGGACCACGGAGGCAGCAGTTCCGTCCTCATCGGGATTTCGGTTGTGCCCGTCCATGTCCTGGGTTCCGAGCTTGTGGAAGGAGGAGAGGACATGAGGCGCTGCGGGTGGGGATGGAGGCGTGCTTTGGCGCCTGCAGTGAGGCAGCGTGGGCGCAGGCACGTGTGTGTGCTTAGGTTGGTGGGTTGTTGGGGGAGTGGGCACCCAGCCAGCGCTGATATCGTGGTGGCCCCTTTGCCAGTTCACGCTGATAGTGTCAAACCCAAAATTTCAACTGCTCTACACGTGCAGCTGGGACAAGAAGACTACGAGGACATTGGTACGTGTCCGTGTGTGTGGGACAAAATATGTCGCGCATTGGGGGGCACTGAACTGGGGTACGTTGCGGCTCAACCGTCCTGGGTATCGGGTGCCACCTTGCTCATTGCCGTACAGCCCATAGCGTTCCTGTGCAGGTGACGATATGAACATTTGCGTCAGTGACACAATAACTGCATCAACCCTGAGCGCTTTTCAAACGCACGGAACCTTTCGGCATTTGCCTACAGGTTGTGCATGACATCAAGTCGAACACGCTAAGCTGCCCTGCACCACACCTGCCAGCGTGGTCGGCCAGCAGCGGCCGAATATGCCCATCGATCGCTTGTCGCGTGTACTCTCCAACAACGTTTATCAATCGACTGTTGCCAAGTGTAGGCATTGTTTGCGAAGGTTAGTGGCAGCTACGGAGTCTGCAACACATCTTTAAAGAGAGCAATCCTGAGCGCACAAACTCAAGGAAGGCAAATTGTGCTGAAGAAGCCCACAACTGCCTGCATTCACACGCTGGCATGGGTGCAGGTGGCCCCAAAAGACACGTCCCGTTTTTGAGGCCGCACAACGTGACTTCGCTACGATGATGAATTGTCGGCCTTTCAAATCCCCACGGACTTTGGCGCCCCACCCCGCAGTCTTTTCTCTTTATTGGCCCTACCACCGGTCGCCTGCGGCCCACGTGGTGAGCCAAAGGCGGCGACGAATCAACCATCAGCGAACACCACAACAAAGGAAAGGCCAGGCCCAGCCTGTCCCCTGCCCCTCATCAACCCCTGATCTCGTTCATTCGACCAGAAAGTACCACAGCTCCAGGCACAATGATGCAACAATTTTTCCAACCACCGTTACCTAGTTTACGCCATCAAACCCAAAGCATGGTGGTAATGTCCATTCTCGCCATTGAGTCATGTTTGCGCCAGGCCGTGCTGCTGCCCATGGGATCCATGGGCGCCGTGCAGCCCAGCGTGGCGTCAGCAAAGTCTTTGGCCAGGCCATTGTCAGTCCAATAGAGGCCACCCAGTCAACAGCGTGAGCCAGGTCAGCAGTCCGTCCACAGGTTCACAGCATCATGGACAGCGGCTCTTCAACATAGCCCTGGAAGGCCTGCAGCCACTGGGCGCCCATTGCGCCGTCCACCACCCTGTGGTCGCAGCTCACAGTGCACATCATCACGTTCACCTCGCCAAAGGTGCCCCCGGGGCCCTCCACCACCTTCTTGTGTCCGGCGCCCACTGCAAGGATGCCCGCCTGGGGCGGGTTTATGATCGCACAGAACTGCCGCACGCCGTACATGCCAAGGTTGGAGATTGTGAAGGTGCCGCCCGAGAACTCCTCGGGCCGGAGCTTGCCCTCGCGTGCCTGTCAAGGCACGAAGGAATTCAACTGACAGCAAACAGTACAACAGCAGCCCCATTCGGCCAACGCGATTAAAGGTCCTGCACATGTCCTACACCTGTGGCGATGTCTGGTGACGGGTGCAGATGTAACACATTCCAGTGTTGATCCTCCATGCAATCAATGTGAGTATCAAGAGTGTTGGTAAACAGCTGGACAACAGCAAACGCCGCCAGACATTAGCCAGCTTCGTTTTGCTTTGGTTTCATGATGGACATTTTGGACACAACTAACAACACATTGCTCCCAAAGTTCTGCGCCTGCAAACAGTCCTGCGTTCCCCTAAAAGATTCACGGCCAGTGCTCTTGCCAGGTTTGACAAACACAGACAAGGCAGATTAGGCAGGGCCTGACACGTGTAGGGAAGTCTATCGTGTGGTCTTGGAAGAATCGTCTTTCCACCCTGTTCCTTGGTCCATCAGACTAATTGTGACATCTATGCCAACTATGCATATGCCAGCTGACCACTCCATCTACAAATAGTGCTGCATGCGGCTGGCACACTGTGTGAATTCAGTTGCCTCTTTCAAACACATGTCATAACAAGGTCATCGCGCCTTCTGGTGGGGCGATGACGAACACAGAATCAGCCAAGCCCTGCCCAATTCTGCGCGGTTGCACCGCCCTCTGCAGAACAACTACCTCCATTCCATAAGACTTGTTGGTTATCCAATCTTGCCATAACTTTGCTAGATCAACTCAATCAGTAGATCTGCCAACAGAATCGGATTCCTTGGTCGATTTTTGGCTGATGGGGATCTTGACTACATTAGTCATCACCATACAACAAGACATACACGGTCTTATCGAAAGCGTCCCTGCACATTTCGTCAGGGCCTCAATTCCCTGTAGTTTTGTACTCACCTTATCCCATGTGTGCCAGTCTTTTTCCCCAAAATATTCAAGATCCTGGTTGTAGGCAGTAAATCACTGCTACAACCTTTCACGAATTTTTGACATCATTGAAATCACACTCTGTGTGAACCATCTCTTCCGCTATGCTGACTCATGCCTTCAAAATCGTCAATCTCAACGATTGGCCATGTTGGCACCAACCTAGGCAGTTCTCAGGTTAACATTAGTGTGCACGGCCTTCCTAAGCTTCGTGCACCGGTTAGGTCAATGCTCTTAGGCTAATCTGGGTTCCCATTGGCCGTCAGCCACAAAATGTGCACAATTCTTGTTGACATCCCAAAATCTGTGGCAAGCCCACATCTTTTGCTCTGGATTCCGCTTTGAATTCAGCCGAATCTTCAATGTGTACCAGACCACCAGGCCAATCATCTCTCCTACAGACAACTCTGCTCGATCCAGCTCCTTTAAAGCCTAAGACGAACGCCCTCTACCCCGATCTAGATCCCGACACAAGGAAATGTGGTGTCTATGCTCCTCTTCGCATATCTCAAAAATGGCGGCGCCGTTTCCCATTCTGAAGGCCTCTACAGACAGCTATGAATCTGGTGCATCGAGTTGTTTTCGTCAAACTTTTGAGCCGCATGTTTTGACCTCCGTTTGCCCGATTTGGACAACGGACAAGACTTTCGAACGGAGGTAGTATATCCCTTGGCCAATTTGCAGTGCAGTGTCATGGAGGTTTTGTATGCATTGGTGCTCAGTAAGGAATTGAGATAACAGATACCTACAGGGCAATGGGAGGCAGCAGCCAGGGGCCTGGCAGATGGAGAGACACACTCTTGCAGTGTAGCACAGCTGGACGTGGCAGTCACATTTGTGCGTTATGACATAAACAGCCACAACAAGGCACTTGCACGTTGATGGTAGACATGGATTTACGTTAGCACAGGAAGCGTGGGCACAAAGGTGGTATTGGCGGCAACAGCGGTCATGGAACTGTGTAACTTAATCTTTGTTCTACCTGTCCATTATTTTACACACTCAGTGTTCAGCTCTTGCCAGGTTCCACCAGCACTTGCCTAGTTTACGATCAACAATTGATCCCCCAGGCCACACAGAGAACAGCAACTGTGCACAGGCATCCACCCATTCCAACAGGCAGCATCTGCCAAGGCGCAGTCACTTTCACTAACCTTGGCGGCAAGCTCCTTCACGTCCGCAGAGATTTGTTGCAAGCCTTTCTTATCTGCAGATCGCACAACCGGCACCATGAGGCCAGCAGGCGTCTGCACTGCGACCGTCATGTCCACCGAGTTGTACTCTCGGATGAACTCTGAATGCCATGAGCTATTCATGCCGGGAACCTTCTTAAGGGCCTGGCAGGCCAACAACGACACATCCAAATCAGACATCGCATCATACAAATCCAAATGGCATGCAATCTAAGCGCTGTATGCTGCAAACATAAGCTGGTTTGACATTTGGTGTGCACAATACCCTAAGCATTGTGTGGACGACTTGTGTATGCATGGACTTTGCACTGCAAAGTACTTATGGCACTGTTAGTACTTGATTCAACTCAGAGACAATCAGAATTCAACGTCCAGCAGCTTTAGGCACTCTTCACTGAGTCAAAGACAACTTAGGAGGCTCCACGCAGAATGGGAATAGAGACAACACAGCAGCGGTCAGCCAAGTCAAACCTGTTTCCTGAACTCTGTTTCGAGGTGCATTTGCTGCTAATAAATCATTGGCCATTTGATACTTGACAAGGACTGTAACTTGTGGCCATCTGTTTGCACAGATTTGGGCTGATCATTGTACCCAATGTCATCCACAGTGCAAAGTCGTGGCAGGTCAAACAACAGCAAGGGTGAATATGGGAAGGTGAGCGAGCGACCATCAGTACAACAGCCACTGGAACATGAACCCTGTGGCAAGTGAATGCAATGCAAACAAGCAAGGCCACCATGAAGGGATGCTGGTACCCAACAATAGCAAAGACACAGGTGAATCACTAACAAATGAGACTTAACAGAAATCAGAACCCTCGCTTGCGCAGAAGCACCAGTGTGCCAAAGTTTGAATGGCCACCTGCAGTGTCCTTTGCACAGATCGAGGTTGAATGTGGTCATTGTGGCCACCGGGCAATGGTTACAAAAGCAGCAGAACACATCGGCTGATGAAATGGGGTAGTGCCAAACACATCGCATCGCCGCGTTGCATTTCATCCGTGTTGGAAACTCTGAACCAAAAGGTGCCTTGCTTCAATGGCTTGGACAGTTGGTGAGCAGCAGGTGGTTTTCACCATCCTGAATCTCCATGTAAGAGTCATGAAGCAATGCTTGACCGATAAAAGGATTGACCCACTATGGATAGAAAGGTCAACTTCAACACCCACACATTTTTACATCGACCTGGTGCATCAAAATCCCAATGGACAAGGTAGTGTTATGGACATATGATACATATGGACAAGGCCCCAACATGGCTTGCAGGTGCATTTTGCATCTACTGAAAGACATGGTCAAGCACAGCCCTTCCCATGGACACTGTACATGCAGCTGTATACACTTGCCCACTAACATTCCATCAGCTTACCAATGCCGCAGCCTTGATGACAAAGTCATTCAGTGAGAGCTTCACACCGTCCTTTGCGAGCCTTTCGTTGAGGTCCTTGCGGATTCTGTTTAAAATAAATGAAGTGAGTGACAGTAACACAAGCAGGTTGGAAAAGACTGAGTATGACTGGGCATCCTTCCACTGCTCACAATCCACGTTGGGCATTCAGTATCGTATGGCAGGGTTGTACACTATGTGACAGCCATTTACCCCAAGCAGACTAAAGCTGTGGCAAAAAAAAAGAAACAAACAGAGCTCCATTGCACATGGCAACCTGCTGCCAACCTGTTTGCTGACCGTCAGAGAGTGGCATCAGGTCATGACACCATAACAAGCAACAGTGATGATCACGCACATAAATCTGTTGACAATGTGCAACAAGATTTCTGTAGATCGGGTCTGCTCATTTGCCAAGCAATGAAGAGTGCATGTGGGCTACTGGAAACTGAGACTCCTCTTGATCTCTGTTTATTTGAAAAAGCACCATCAATAGTGTGCACCTTGTCTAACTGCATGTAATGGATTCATTCATTCAGTTTGGCACTCAGCATGACATGTCAGGCAGCCCTTGCAGTGCAGCCTGGATGGGCGTGATCTTCATGCGAAGTGCGAGCGAGCTCTCAGAGCAGGATCAGTGACTACTGGAATTTGACTCACAACATCACAACATTTCCTCTTTGTCGTTGTTTAAGGTTTGTTGGGTTGCTGTGGCACAGATGGCATCGTCAGAATAAGAATCTTGACATACCTCATCAACTCATCGATGCGGCACTCCACTGTCAGGTAATAGTGTGGCACAGTCTGTTTTGACTCAACCAGCCGTTTGGCGGTTATTCGTCGAATCTGGGTGTGCGGGATGTCCACGAAGCCTGGCATGCCCAAGGCAGCAGCGGCATCTGTTGGGACAGCTCCCTGAGCAACATTCCACACATGGGTTGGGCCTGGTCCACAGAGACGCAACGTCGCAGCACCCTGTGCATTACGCACAGGGGAACTTTTGCACCACTAGGATAGTTGACATACTCTGGGCATTTCCTTGGCTGTCAGCTGGCCCTTTCATATTGTGCATCTGGTGACATGGAGCAGTACGATCTTGGGAAAGTCAACACTGACTGGATGTTGTGGCTGCAAATTTTTTGGCTGCTACAAGGCGCAAAAACTTTGCAAGGACTTTTGGCCTTTTTCCTCAATCGTTGTCCAGGTATTCACAGCGTTAGATAAAAAGAGACAGCATGCTGTGGAGCACAATGCAGACCTACTCAATGTCAATGAACAGCAATGTTTGATGACAGTTGAGAGGCAAATTCATCCCCTTGCACTGTACTAATGAGTGATAACTGAATCAAACATGGTGTGTGCACAAACACAACTTAGCTGGTACGTTTATGCATGAGACATCACCCACCACTGCAGGGATTTTATCACCAACAGCTCCAAGACTTGCACCTAGGAAGGGGTGGTCAGATCCATAGCAATGATCATTATGCGATTCACAAACCAAAAAGAGGGCGAAATCCCCCCTGGCTAGGAGAAATTCCCTTCAGCATTCATTGTGAAATTGGCACCCATTGATGCATAGAAAGAACTTGAATCATGGCAATGCCACAGCGAAGGCAATAGCTGCTGCATGCAATGGGGTCACGTTATCGATCTGTCGCTGAGATTTGTGTTGGGCATTCATACTAGTTTTCCAATGAATTGCATATTGGCATGTGTATCAGGCTCTGTACTTTCTTCTGGGAGCATCCATGTCAACCTGAAACACAGGAGCAGTATGTGCATTCGGTGAATTGCAATGTCATCAACTGCACCAACATATGTCAAACTAAGGAGCACTGTGGGTGCTTATATGCAATGTAATATTTTTGAATCACAAAAAAGGAGGAGCACTGTACGGGCATTTCTGAAGTAATATTGGCACCCATGGTCAGCTCAAAATCAGTATTCTTGTATTCCTTAGTTTCAAACATGTGATGCAGGGTCAACTCACATTCAAGACAAAAGGACAAAGCAGAAAATGGCTCAGGTTGCCCAACAACTGCTAGACCAAAAATTTTTACAACATTGGAGGTGAGCAACACAGGAAGCAGCCAGCAGCCCACCTTCCCTGAAGCGATGAGCTCTGCGACGTCACCCGCAACTATCCTGCCCCCTGGGCCAGATCCCATCAGCCCGCTGATGCCCACCCCCGCTTCTGCAGCAAGCTTCTTGGCATATGGACTTGCGATGACACGGGTCCCTGGAGCAGCCTGCTTGATCTGTGGGGCAGCAGCCGCCAGGGGCGCTGGTGTCACTGGCGCAGCCGCTGCCATCCCACACAAACGTCCATTGTTAATCAAGCAATCCATCCGTCTATCCAGTACTCCACTTCACTGGAATACCTCAAATTCCTGACACTCCATTTGGAGGAAGGCAATATCACATCAAATGTCACATATTGCCCTAAAATATTCAACCCTTCCTCCTAGTAACGTAACGATTGGCATTTTTCGGTGGAGAAAACAATACAATAAGCAACGCTCTTTCCATAAGATCTCCGCAGAGCAATGTAAAAAGAATGAAAATAATGCTCTGAGGAAAAAGTGCAACAGCAAAATTTTCTGATGCAGAAGGGTTGAATATTTTCGGGTGTAATATGTCCATGAAACAGAACAACGCAGTGCATATTCAAGTCCCAGGCCTCCATTTTCGTGATCCCCTAAAGCCCCATGATAAAAGTACTAATTGATAGCACACTGCAGGAGACAAACAGAAAGGTACCATCCATTGCCATGAGAACAACAGCTATAACCTAAGTGCCTTGAAAACCGTGTCTTTTCGAATTTCTCAAAGACCACGGCCAGCAAAGAGGACAAGCAATTACACGAATCTGCCTTGTAGGGGTACTGGAGCAAGGGGCATCCATTGAGTGTTGTAGAACTATCGCTGAAGCCCATTCATTCAGTCTAGTGCTCATGATGTCCTGAACTTTTCAACAGAACTACCAAAACCTTACAGATTCAACAGAGCTTGCAGCACCAATGTACAGCCTGAGTCGACCTTGCAGCAATTGTAGTCTGCAAGGAACATAGTTCGTAGACAAGGGATGGTGGACAAGAGCACGTCTTAAGCAGAATATGATTTGTGACTGCTGCAACATGTTCAAAACATTTTGCTAAAACCTGGTGAAATGTAACGTGGATATTGTAACTGCATCTGCAGGGCAGTGGGTGCTTACAAAACGCAGCCACACTTATCTGTCCAGCTGTGCATTGCACTGTACGGTATACCAGGCAAACAAGCAGACAGCAGCACACAAGTGCAAGCATACTTGAACCAATCGATGCTGGCACTCCACTGGTGTCCCCAACATGCAGTTGTAAATGCCCAAAGCAAATCATGGTCCTCAACAAATGCCACATGTCTTCCCAACAAATGTTGTTCTGCATCTTTCAGCTGAACTTGCGCGTTTGCTAGCTCTTCACAGCATTCACCATTATTGCAGCTTGCCTATATACATCAGCACTTGTCGCAGTCACCTGCCACTTGCTGCAGGCATGACAATTAACAAGACTGGCAGAACCAGAGCCATTCTCACTGTGAACTAAGCACATTGAATTGACAATGACATTCTAACTGCGATGACCTTTTTGGCAATGTCATTGGTAAGCATCATATTGTGATAGAGAACTGGGCCATCTTCCAGTCTGAAGGGGTTCCACACTTTTGGATTCATAGATGTGACGCAACACAAAACTTATTAAATTCGAAACCAAAATTTGCTGCAAGCACAATTCGAAGTGCTGCTTTGTGCCATGTGCTTTTTTGTGGGTTTCAGAGAATTTCTCCAACATTTTTCTTCTCGTTTACTTCATAGCATGGAGAAGAGTACACTTTGTGTGCCATATCTTCCTTTGCTCCTAAAGAATTTTCTGTTGGCAACTCAGTGGAACATGTGTGCAGTGCCTTGGACATATCTCATGCTGCACCCACCAACAGGCGATGGTTCTGGAGCTGGCTCAGATGTTGCTGGGGCAGAAGTTGCTGGCGTGCTGGTTGGAAGTGCGTCAGCTGCTGTGAAGCTCGCAAAGGCGGGGATGCTGGACTGCATGCCAACAAAGCCAACATCAAAATGAGAAGAACTCTTAGAAAACCATTCTCGAGCAGAATGGACTGTGTCTTATGTCATTCCGTTTTATATTACACTTGCCTCCCATCTTTGTGCTCAGCCCTCTTTCTGTTAGGGCTTCTATTCCTAGACCCCACCCCCACCCCGTTTACCAAGGAGAGCTATCTCATAAGGCATACAACATCCAACTCAGCACTCCATGGACAGCCCAACAAGTCGATCTAGGGGTTTGGGAACCCTCTTCACATAATGTAGTGCAGTGCTTGTCACCATAAACTTGGCTCCACTTTGACAACTTTGGGCTACTATACGTTACCAGCACCTACCCTGCTGACACCCATGAATCAGCATTTTGGCTGGCGGCAGTACGCACCCAGCACCATCAAAGTCGGAGCAAGGGTTTGCTTGCCAATGTGCCAGTTAAATTTATATCGGGTTGCTGCCCCAGCCTTATCTCTTTTTGTCCATCAAACATCCTGACTCAGGCGCTGTCTGCGGTCAGCCCACCAACCTCATCGTCCACGATGACTGCCACCGTGGCACCAATGGGTATGTCCTTTGCACCGTCGGGCGCCAGCAGCTTTGCAATGAAGCCCTCCTCCTGCGCCTCCCAGTCCAGAACGGACTTGTCCGTCTCCACAGTGCACAACACGTCGCCTGGGGCCACCGCATCGCCTTCCTTCTTTGCCCAGCTCACGATGTTGCCCTGGCTCATCGTGGGGGAAAGGGCAGGGAACGACAGGGGAGTGAAGGTTGGAAAGCTGCCGGCGGGCTTGGCCTCTGGGGCAGCTGCTGCCGGCGCCGGCGTTGAAGGGGGGGAGGGTTCGGAGGCGCTGCCTGCCACATTGGATCAATAACATCACATATAGCAAAATAGTGCTGATTATGCCAGAACTCACTGCCAGTGATACTGGTACCATTGCTGTTATTTTTTGCAGCTAACATGAGCAGTTTACGGTGCATTATTGCTGTCCATAATATGCACACCAAAAACATTTGTGATCGCAGTGCTGTAATGGCTTACAACTATTAAAACTACTAAATTCATACTGTAAACATTGCCTATGATGGGAACCCTCCCCTGAAGATTGTGACATCCATTGTCACACTGGAAAGGCAATTATTTGTCCCCAAACGCCAAAGAGAAAGCGAACATCAACAAATGACGCAAATAATGCGCAACTGAGGAGGAGACATCTGAACAATACCAGGCAAGTCAGAGGTGGCACAGGATATGCCAACTGAACATGACATATTTTGATGGCCACTGTCTAAGGAATACAGTCTGTTGGGTAAAGCCTCTGCCACTACCACACTTGGCAACTTTGGAGTCTCAGCATCTCCTCTTACTACATTGCACAGGGCCTTACTTCACAAGTCTTGCTTGGTAACATGGTTCTTGCAGCACCATTGCCCTGTCCAACTTGGAATGTGGACATGTGCTATAGTACCGCTGAACTGCCCCCAGCACTACAGACAAGCAGCAGCTTCTGTTGCCATTCCATCGAGATTGCAACAAACAAATGCCCTCATTACAACAACCAGAACAAATGAATGTCTGATGATAGGGCTGGATACTGGATCTTGATGACTTGCTTGGCATCCAGGCATGGGGCAACACGTGGGCAACCATTGACGTGACACAAACGCCACGCAGCTGCTTCAAGCTGCTCCGCAATTTTAGGAGACAGGAAATGAAATGATCACTAGATGGCTTTCAATTCTGCTACAGAGGTTTTCCAATTGTTACATAGAGACTTCAGCACAGTCGTCTGCAGCATGGACAAGACTCTCACAACATCTTTCCCAGAGGGTGCCACAGTTCATATTAACAAACTTCTTTCTTGTTGTTCAACAATTTGTGAGTATCACACTGGCAATGAAAGAGAATCTGCCAAGCAAGCATAAGCTTGAGTCTGCTATCAATCTGACAATATAGAACAATACTGCCCATCAGCGTGAACTTGCAGATGAGCACAAAATGGGCATCAAGATGGCTCACATTTGCGCTCAGAATGTGTGCACAAGACTTGGCATATTTCTCTTTTGGAACTTCCTGCACTCTGATTAACAGCAATAACCCATCACCTTGCACTTTCCTCTGGACTGGCACAAACCCACATTTCTGTCAGGAACTGGGCGGCACCTGGACTCTCACATGTGATTTAACGTTTGTAATCAAAGAGACAACATACAAGAGGTCAACAAATGGATGTTACCCTGTTCTACATAGTCACTAAACGCGGCGACGTCGCTCTGGTCGTCCACCACGATCGCCAGCGGCGTCCCAATCTTCAAGTCCTTGGTCCCTGCAGGTACCAATATCTTCGCCAGGTAGCCTTCCTCGACAGCTTCCCAGTCGAGAGTGGCCTTGTCCGTCTCCACCTCTGCCAGCACTTCCCCTGCAGCGATGTGGTCCCCTTCCTTCTTCTTCCACGCCCCCAGGTTCCCCTGCAAGTTTCGGAGAATGAGTGAAAGCATCCATACACACAACAGGGTAAACAGACATATGTTGCTGTTTGAATAACGACTTGGGCTGCATTCGATTCCACTCAGAGGGGGAAAGCCGGGGGGGGGGGGGGCTTGCCCAATCATGGAGCACTAAACTTCCCTTACTCCGATGCTACCACTTCGACTTTGTTGCTGCTGCTGCTGCTGTGCTTCCAAAATCGCCACAGACAAATACCAGCTGCCAGTATCAGCTACCCTGCCCCTATAGGAAAGCGGCAAGCTTTGGTTGTTTTTGGAATTCTGCTGAAGAACACACAGACCGGCCATGTTGCACAGGAGCCAGGCCAGGACACTGCAGGAGCATTTCTCGCTCACTGTTACGGCAGCACAACATGCTCTGCTCCCTTCTGAAGGACAACATCATTGCACCCAACAGCTACGATTGACATTTATTTGTCTGCCGGGCTGTTGTACAGGTGCTTGTGCAACTGAACAGCACCAGCATCGGTCAATATTACCAGCCCGAGCTCCAGCAATCTGTGGCTTCAACTTCTGAAATTGCAGCGACAGTGCTCCAACAGCAGGACAGTGAGGGCCAAATGCTCTGGGCAACAACAGATTGAATGCAAGGACTGGTCCATGTTGTGTTTTGCACCATATTGTGTTATGGGCGATTGGATGGCATTTTGGCAGTTCTCAGATAATGCGAACACAAACAACAGTACAGAACACGTTGCTGAACTGCAATGCGTGAGCACCTGCTCCATTGTTGGTGACAGCGCAGGCATCTCAAGCTTCGTGTGTGGAGGCACTGTTGAAATCACAAAACAGTCAAGTTAGAATGAAGTCAGGCTGCTCGTGGCGATGTTGGAAGCACAGAGAGGCAGAATGAGCAGTATTGTCTTGCCCCTACCACCTAGGAGTCTCCGCAGCCAGCAAATTGCCACCAACAACCTAACTTTTGCCAACACAAACGAAACAGTGTGCCAGTGGCATCGGCTTGCCTGATGAAAAGGACCGATGGCCATTCATCTGGTGTTCTGATCGGGGCCATCCAGCAGCACTGAAGATGCCTGGTGTGCCATTGCTGCCAAGGCACCTATTCCACCACCACAGAAGGCGCAGTCAGTTCCTGTGGACAGGGTGATCATCAACTGAAATGACAGTGCAGGTGGCAGTGTAATTGTCATGTGCATCTGCAAATGGAATCAGTCCAATTTAGATCCAAAGCATCCACAAGCAGTGCAACACTGCCCACGAGAAGGCAACATTGGGGTGCATGGATTGATTCAATTGGTATAGCACAAGCAGCCTTGTACCAGCTGGCAAGGGATGGGAGGAGATTCCACACTTTATGGTTTGAAAGCATCAGAATAGCAGGAACAGGCCTAGCAGTCGTTTATTTGTCTTGCTTCCAACATTGAGTCCAGCGCACCATCAGGTGCCATGGCAATTGCCTTGTGGCCCTCAGCCAATGCAAGTTAGGCTTTGTGCAGCTGGAGGGTGAAAATTAAGGAATCTCCTTATCCAACATCCAGCTGTGCCAAATTCCCAAGCTGACATAAACTGCAGCCAACCAACCTTGCCTCCATTCTCGTAGTTGCCAGTGCACAAGTAGTGTTGTGTTCACACAAGTGTAGATGCACAAGGCGGAACCACATTCAATCTTGCTCTGCACTGGGCTTGCAGAAATGCTACTGGCAGCATGGAGGAGCAAGTGCTGCGATCCTCCCAAACAAAAGCAATTGTTGCAATCAAACGACTGCTCCACTGCCGCCAGTGGGGAGCCTTGTTCAAGTGCATTGACATTGCCTTCCATTGAAGTTTGGATCTAAAGAGCTGGAGCACAGCAAAACTGGTCCAGAAAATATTTGCTACATGTCCCCAATAGAAAAATAAATAAGAAAGAAACAGAATGTATATGTCATAGCCCACCACTGCTGTTTGGAATACATTTCCTGTGGCCACCACCAAAGCATCTCATTACTCAATCAGCTCAGGCCAAACCGCTGCTGTCATCATCCCAGATTCCAATTTCCCTATGCTTGCATGTTTGGAGTCCCTGGCAGTCATGCAAACATTTGCCCTGTCGCAGAGAGCATGCCCAGACATTGCCCAATAGAGGAAGGAGTGGCATTCTGTAGATGTTTAGAAATGCTACCTCCACGGCTCACACTGCAAATATGCTAATCACCTTGCTCTGCCCATTGCATCCTTTGTCTGGCATTTCCAATATCCAAAAGAACAACCAAACCAAATCCAGTCCATACTCTGATCCCAAGGAGCCCAAGTGTGTAGAAACATTTCAAGACATCTGCCCATGTGGGGAAAGCGATCCAATGCACCTAACAGCGGAGGTTTTTTGAACATTACCAACAGTGCGCGTTGGAAGTAGTGCAGCGAGATCAAAATGGTCTGCCACCCCCTTCCTGGATCTGTGTTCAGCTGGGGCCGCACTGCAGACTACAGCCCCGGCGCACAGATATCCCAACACAGCACATTAACACATTCAAGGTGACAAAGACACTGCTTGATGCTGGCTAATGAAATCCACCAGAGCCAAACCCAGCACCAGCAGCGCCAATTGCTAGCAATCCTGGTGCCTGAAGACATCGCTAAGGATGGCTGAACACTGCGCAGGAGCACGGGATGGACTGCCTGATCATGTGGGTGGCACGGCGCAAAACCATGCCCTGGAACACCGGAAGCTTCCAAAATTCAAACGGTGTCACAACGCGCACGCGACTGCCTCCCCTGTGCACCGAATCCGCCGGTCTCTGCCCAGGGCAGGCGCGCATCAGTGGGTGTTGCTCGAACTCTGCCCAGGGCGAAACCAAAACAGCCCAAAGCCCTACCCGCCCGCCGATCCCCCACCCACGACCAAAAGGTTCTCGCACACAAGACGCAGTGCCCTTTGCACGATCCATTTCTCTTCCTCCCTCAAACAAATCTCACCCGCCCCACCACGCCCCGCCGCGCTGATTGCCCCGCCGGCCCCTGATCGAGATCGGAAGATCAACGGCCCACGAGAAAACAAGAGAGCCGCGACGTGCAAACGGGCCATGGCCGCGCTTCGGTGCCGCGCGGCCGATCGCCGCGCGCAAGCGCACACCGGCAAGGGCGGCGGGCAGGGGATGATGAATCCACAAAGCGAACTTCTAGATCCCCGTTCTATCCCTTTTGGAGAGACAAGCGGGCGTGCGCTCACGCGATGTACTGGCGCCCGGGCGGGGTCGTCGGCGGCGCCCGGGGGGGCGGCGCGGCCAAAGCTCCCCGCAGCGCTGCCAACTCCCTGGATGCGATGCCGCCACGCCCGCAAGCCAGGCGGTGGAGGATCAGTGACGCGACCCGCCGGCGGGCCGGAAGCATGATCCCGCCTGCGGCCGGATGCGACCCGGTCGAAGGGGAGCGCAGCGATCGGCGCGGCCTGGAGGGGAGTGGGGGACGGAAGGGCCCTGCGAAAAGTGGTGGGTGGGGCCCTTTGTAGAAGGCAAGGGCCGGGAGGGGGCCCAGAGTCGCTGGGGTGCCCGGGTGAGGGCGGAAGAAAATGAGGCGGGGTTTTTTGGGCGGGGGCGCGGTGACGTTAGGGGAGGGTTACGCCTCGGGCGCGGCGGTGGCGTGAGGGATCTGCTGCCGTTTGTGTGACCTGTTTTATGGCCTGTTTTTTCTCCCGACGTGAGGAGGACAGCGGGCCAAGAAAGAAGCCGTACAGAGGGTGGCCTCCCTGTGGCTTGACTGGGCGTAAGTGTGTGGGATCCTTTTCCGTGCTGTGAGACGAGGCCGTAGAGTTTCCAAGCGAGAGATGCTGGGCACACAGCACAAGAGTTGTGTTGCTTGGCCAGCGCCCTACATGACCTGTTCTGTAACCTGCCTTTCTCGCAATGTTGGGAGGATATCAGGTCATGAAAAAGTTGTGCAATGGCAGCTTCTCTGTGTCTTGGTTGAGCGACTGTGTGTGAGACTCTTGTCCGTGCTGCGAGAGGAGGCCGTAGAGTGTCCAAGAGCGAGATGATGGGCACACAACACACGTGCTGTGTTGCTTGTGCAGGCAACACGAAAGGCCAAAACAACGGTGTTGGGCGGGATGGTACTTAAGGGGTTGGATTGCTGTCTTCCTTGTCGCTGGCCAGGAGACTTGGTGGATCGGTGGGGCATCCCGCTCTGGGATCTCAAACCGATCCTCGGTTCGGATATGTGCTTTCCCGTCTGCCCTGAAACAAACGAGCATCCGGTTCATGGGACTGATATGACAGTGAGCCAAATCAACCGGCGCGATCTACATCACTGGCAAAACATGGCCACATGCAGCTTGAGCATGCACAACAGCCTTTCGTTCACCACTGGTACGGCAAAATGCTGCTTGCTGCTGTAAGACACATAGTTCAATGGGTGGCAAAAACGGTTGCGCCGCAAAATCCTGTTCTCAACAATCTTCGAAGCGAAAAATTCTACACCATTTCTCATGTACACGTATTGTCCACAACGTTTCCACATATGCAACACGCATATCTTTGTCACCCACTTGTTAGCCCACATGGTGCTAGGCATTCGCACCCACCGCGTTTCACATGTCGATTCCCACAAGCGTGTGTGGGAAGTGTATTTCCCACAGCTTGCAGCACCATTGCAGCATCATCACAATCAGCATAAATTTAGTGTCCCGGACGACGCAAATTGGAAGTGTCCAATCGGAGGTGGATGGTAGTCACAGACTCTTTGGCTTATGTAGACGGAAATATAAGGATCCATATACGGAAATACGGTCTACGCTAGGGTACATTTGAAAAGAGTGCACTCTAAAGCGCTCGGGACCGATGCGGTTGCCACTTTATCGAAACAGCCAATGGTGGATCTGCCGCAAATTTTGCAACGCCAGATCGACCGTACGGGATTATCACTGCCAATCTTCAACCGGTGGCCCACGGCAACCTCCCCCCCGAGCTAGAAAGAACATATGAGTCCACAGTCCGCTCATGTGTTCCTCAGACCCATTCCCCCCTTCCCCCCCCTTTCGCTTCAGCATCCTGCCGGCGGATTTCCCCGCCGCGGCGGAAAGAACAAACTGCAGGCGCCTTTCAGATTTGAAGCAAGCTCTAGAGCATGCCAGATCTGGCCCGACATGCCGCACCCCGACGATGTGATGCGGCAGCTCCGACGCCACCCAAGGCCCGCGCCGGCGCCAGGAGTCACGCGCTCTGACCGCAAACCGGGGCGACCGGCCTTTGACTGGCGCTGACCCGTTCGAGCCACGCACCACCCCCTTCGATGTTGCCGGCGGATTCATTGCCTAATGGCGCAAAGGGGGGATGGGCTGGCTCCATGACGTGGGAGGCCAGGGACGGGCGCACGATGCGAGAGAAGACGGCGGGGCGTGCCCGCGGGTTCATTGAGCGGCGGAGCCCCATTTCCGTGCTCCTGTGCTGGCAGTTCTTAGCGCGCCACTTGCCCATCATCCTGCCCCACTCGCTGAGCCGCCACTACTGGGACATGGCCATCCTGGCGCTGGTGACGTACAACGCCGTTGCCGTGCCATTCGAGGTGGGGTTCGAGGTCACCAAGCCCGCCGCCCTGACGACCTTCGAGAGCTACGTGGACCTGTGCTTCTTCTTGGACATTCTCATGAACTTCCGGACGGCTTACGTGGACGACCACGGCAACATGGTGCGGGACGAGAAGAAGATCGCCAGGCGGTACCTCCGCACCTGGTTCCCCATCGACTTCTGCGCCACCGTTCCCGTGGACACCATAGCCAATCTGTTGGGCGCCAACAGCGGCAGCAGCCTCACCCTCCTGGCCTTTTTGAAGACCCCCAGGCTGCTGCGGCTCGGCCGGCTGCTGCGCTTCCTGGACCGGCTGAAGAACGCGAACTACTTCAAAATGGTGCAGCTCATGGTGTTGATGTGCCTCATCGCGCACTGGATCGCCTGCACCTGGCAGATGGCGTACAGGTTCACTAAGGGGCGGTACCCCTGGACCATCGACAAGGTGGCGGGGCTCGACGTGTTCACGCAGTTCATGGCGGGCTTCTACAAGTCCTTCATCCTCATGGTGGGGGACAACGTCCAGCCCGAGAACAACCTGGAGAGGGCGCTTTGCTGCGTGGTGCTCGTGCTGGGGGCGGGGTTCTACGCCACGGTGGTGGGCAACATGGCCCTGTTGGTGAACTCCATGAACGCGACCTCCGCGAGGCACAAACTCAAGCAGGAGATGGTCCAAGACGCGCTGCGGTATCTGGGCGTCCCGCCACCGATCCAGCAGCGCATACACGACTACTTCGACTACCTGGGCACGTACGCCCATCCCGGCACCGACGGCATGGCGTTCCTGAAGGAGCTGCCCTGCAGCATATTCGAGGACGTCGCCGTGTGGCTGTACCAGGACATGCTGCAGGGCATCCCGCTGTTCCGGCACTGCGATGTGGAATTCATAACGCGCCTGGCGACGTCCTTGAGGGTGGAGGTGTACATGCCCGGGGAGACGGTGTTCAGGTGCGTTTGCAGGCCACTCATGCAGGCAGGCTAGACGTCACTTCTAGACTTCTACAAGTCTGAGGACGTGAAGTCTGGGAGTTTAGACGTGTGCTTGCTGCGAGAATGCCTCGGAGAGCTCTTGGCTTCCAAGCAACGGTTAGGTTGCTGATCAGCAAGCTGAGGGGAATGTCATCATCATGGTGTTGCGCATATTAATTGCCTGATTGATTGATTGATTGATTGATTGATTGATTGATTGATTGATTGATTGATTGATTGATTGATTGATTGATTGATTGATTGATTGATTGATTGATTGATCGATCGATTGACTGATTTACATGTACTATCATCGTCAAACATTTCTTGGCAATGGAAATTGATGGATACCTGGACTTTGTTTGTGTTCGATTTCAACGAACTGATCACGGACACCGCTTTGCTTGGGCAAAATAGGAAGCTGACAGCTACCTCCCCGCCTTGCTCTGCAAAATTGACAATGATGACGACTGACTGGCTCGGCTGTGCCCAGGTACGGCGACGTGGGCGACGAGATGTACATCGTGATGAAGGGCCACGTGGCGGTGTTGAGCCAGTACGCCGAGCTGCTCTCCATCCTGACCCGAGGGAACTACTTCGGCGACCTGGCGCTGCTGTCCACAACGCGCCGCACGGCCTCCTGCGTGTGCCTCAGCCACAGCGACATCACCGTCGTCGGGTCGAGCGAGCTGCAGATGGCCATGAAGGCCTTCCCGGACAGCGCCTTGCGCGTGCAGGAGGAGGCGGCCAGGCGCCTGCACGAGATCCAGATGCGGGAGACGAACCCCGAGGTGGAGTCCCGGTGCCGCACAACCTCCGACGAGCACAATGTCGCCCTGGGCCTGCACCAGGACGGGCGCGAACAGCCGGGGGGCCTGCGCCGCTCCCTGTCGATCAACGGCACCCGGGGAGACTACGGCTTCCATCGGAGCGTCCCCATGGCGGGAGACGGGCCGGCCAAGGCACGCAAACAGGCGGATTCGTCCGCGGCCGGGGAATTCGTGGGCACAGGCAGGGAGACCGGGGGAATGCCGTTTCAGGCCAGGCGGATGACCACGGTGAGCGGGTCCGTGATGCCGCACAGCCTCCTGGTGACGGCGTTGGGCCCTAGGGTGCCGATGCCGAGGACAGCGTCGTCGACTACCGATACCGGGTCGGTTTCCCTCGAGGAGGCCGGGCCTCAAGGCGCGGGGGCCCTGGACGTTGGGGCCCTCAACTCAAGGCTGGCGAGCATGGAGGGCCTGCTGGTGTCCATCTGGGGCAAGGTGGGCGCCATAGAGAAGAGGCTGGCGAGGACGGAGCGGGCGCTGGAGCAGATAGAGGAAGCTTCCCTGCCGTCCATCTTGCCTTCGTCCAGCACCTTTGGGCGTTCCAGGAAATCTGTGGCTTGGGTTGGTGAATAGGTTTGGGGAAGGGGACTCCGGGCTTGTAGGTTGGCCAGCGGAAGGAACCGGCACGGGATGGCATTTGTGCACAAGATGTTCAATTAGGTCGATTGTCTGATGAAAGGCCTGTCAAACGCAGTGGGAAGTGGGGGCGCCGTGCCCTGCCATCGCCGGGGGCCACTGGGAGGGAACGGTAGGCGCAAGAGTCGTCAAACTTCAATCCAAATAGAAGTTAAGGAATCCAGGGGACAGCGGGGTAATTGGTGTCAGCACAAGGCTGGTTCCAGGCACCACTCGCATCCAGCTTCGATGCGTATCCAAAGATCGCGCTGAAGATTCGCCCACCATCATTCTCCATGTCCGAAGAGAAGCCATCACTTCTGACCCCGCTGTCTTGAACAGAGAGCGTTCATCATTCCACATCCTGAGCGCTGTGCTGGTCAAGGCCGCACCTGGGATGAACGAGCGGAGTCTGAATTCACAGTTTGCCGGTGGTGCAACGTGGAACAAAGTCCGCTTAGTCTGGACTTATGATCCTCCGCTTCCGCAGTGGAAGAGCACCCTGGCCAGAAACCATAATCTGTGGGTGCAAACTGCACCAAGTTGCCAGCCTTCTCGGAATTGGCGTGCACATGACGGCTGCAGCTGCACAGATGCGCATGTGTCCACAAGTACAATCCATTGCACCAAGTCACAAACACTGCTTAACCATCGCATTGACATGCTTCCCGCTGAACGGCCAGTTGGCCCTTCACCGTCAAGCCTCCACAAGCCAGACAAATTTCCGCAAACATGCTCGCTGTCAACACTCCCACCTCGACACCAAAGAACAGGTTCACCATCAGCGTGCGTTTGTTGCAGACCACATTCGCAAACACTGTTTTGCAGACACTGTTTTGCGAACTTTCAGTTCAACATATCCACCTCATTTGTTGATACGCCTCTAACGCGATTTTCCACCACATGGGCAACAGTGCTGGGCAGCGCAACCAAGAGGGTCCATCGTCTGCCACTGCACCCACGCAGCGCCCCAATCAATCCAAGAATGAAATAATCCAAGATGGAATCAAGAGCATTGAGCAAGGCCTGCAGATGCCGGTGTGTTGCACTTTCTTCCCAGAGCTCACCCGCGCAGCAACGCATGGAGAACAATGTGTGACCAAGCACACACCACACACTTCTGGCACCCGTCCCATCAAGGCCTCCCTCGTTCTCACAGCAGGGCCCCTCTTAAATCCCAGCACACCCCCCAAATCCCAAACACAAGATTCTGTCGCCAGCAGGAGGCAAGCAGAGCTGCAGTGCAGCCGCATGCACACAATATCATGCCCACGACACAGTGTGGGCACTCTGCCAGCACGACAACACCCCCCACATACCCTTCCAAAGGCCTATCTCGACAGGGCAAAAGAAATGAATATAAAGAATGTTCCATCTGGCAGCATGAATGCAATCCCATAACTACCACCACGTCCCTCGACCATCATCCGCCAGAACCTCCAGCCACACAGAGAGCGAAGCAAGAAATAACATCCCCACAAACGAAAACATTAGCTGGCAACAATGTGAAGACACACTCTGACATCACCACTGGCAGCTGCCAAACGCATCCCACAGGTGAGAGGCTGGAAGGCAGGGTCCGGTGACTCAGACAGCGGCCCCATCCATCGTGTACACTCGTGTCTGCCCATGATTCCAACACCCACCAGGCCGATCCAGACCCTCCTTTGTCCAAATATTACAAGCAGCACAGAGAAGAGGACACTTCCCAGAAAGCAGCCCGCTCTCTGCTCAACTCAGCTGATAGCTACCATCGTCGCTGCCTGTGATGTCGAGCCATGGGTGTGACTGCAGGTCCCTGGCTCTGGGCCTGTCCTTGGGGTCGATCCTCAGGATGGAGGACAGGAAATCCTGGCCCGGTAGCGACAGGAACTCCTGATCGCGCACGAAGTCGAGGACGCCGCCCCACCGATCGCCCTGCAGCTCCTGCTTCTGCACCGTGGCCATCTGCTCTGGGGTGTCAGCGAGGAAGGGCTGGTGGCCGGTCAGGATCTCCACCACGACCACCCCAAGGGACCACACGTCCACCTTCTCATCATACGATGGCAGGTCCGTCTCGGAGATGCCATTGTCGATGACCTCATGAAAGATCTCATCGTCTGTGGGCTTGGTGACCACCTCGGGGGCCATGTACGCCAGCGTGCCCTCGCGGCCCACCATAGCTGTCTTGCCAATGACGGCAGCAGAGAAGAAGTCTGTGAGTCGCGCATTGCCCTGTCCGTCAAACAGGATGTGCTCTGGCTTGATGTCCCTGAGTAAGCAAACAGCTCTCAAGCAGGGTGTTGCATGCAACACAACACGCACAACATGTATGGGTTCCAGATGACCATTTCCTAGCCCTGCAGCAATATCGCATCTCTGAGGAGCCTGGCATTCTGCTGTGTTTGGCACCTTCTCCAAATTCTTGAACAGAATGGCGAGAGCCAAAAGTCGCTTCCCCAGGAGTCGCCTGTCGCACGCGAGTTCACTTTCTTTGCTCCACAACCAGACAGCAATGTGCGTGCAGTTTGCACTGTAATACTTTGTGTGTGACAATATATATTTGGATAATAGCAGTGGTGCAGCGACTTCCCCAAGCAGTTCCACGATCCCATCTGTGCTTCGCCTTTTGACCCATCCCTTGCGCTGCAACACTGGAAAGATAGTGGCACAGGTGAAGACAACACAGACAGAGACACGGCAAAATACATGTTGCACGGCAAGCAAGCAATGGCCAGGTCCATCAATGCTGTCAACCCAGGACCCCGAGACAACAAAGGCTGCCAGCAGTGTGGCCCGCCAAAACCTACCTATGGACGATATCATTCCCATGCAGCCAAGCCAAAGTGTCCACCAACGGTTTGACGACCTGTCGCACACACATTTCTTCTGCCATCCTACCACCTGTGGCAGCAAGACGGTCCAGCAGGTTTCCTCCAGAGCAGTCACACAGGACGACCGTCCTGAAATAGTCATCGACGAATGTTTTCTTCAGCTCAATGACTCCATTGTACCTGCAAGCCAAGCCCAGCATGTCAATGAGCATGCGCTTTGCAGCCAGCAGCCAACACAAGGCTGGTGAGGGCTGTGGTGGTGGCGCGAGTCTGTGCTGCTGCTGCTAATCGGATAACAGCTAGTTTCAGCACTGAACAGAGGCGTGTCTCCAGCCCATACATATGCAAATACGATCCCATATATAAAACTACCGTCCCACATCTGCACGACATCTCCATTTTTGTGCCTACAAGCCTGGCAGAAAGCATTGTCAGTGCACCGGTGTGCTGCGCGAGTGTGCATGTGGGCAGACTGCTCCTCCCAGAGCAACCCCACCCCCACCCCCACCGTGGACAAATATGTTTGTGGTGTGGGTGGGTGGTTGATGTGTGGGGTCAGGAGGGGCCATGCGTCCAAAACACAGGTTTCCAGCACATGTTCCCCAGCTGGAAACAGCAGCCAGGAAAGAAGAGAAGCTGCTGAGTTGACAGTGAGCCCTCAGACTCGCAATGCAGCAGCCTTGCTGCATTCTCTTCTCTTCCGCAAATAGACGAATCCACAAGGATGGCAGGACGGAAAGTGGTTTGCAACGAACCCGCGCGCAACTTCTGTGACAGGAGCCAGGAAAGGGGCCCAGTGACGTCACTCCAAGGGGCGATTTAAACTTGGCACGGAGCACGCACCCCTTGATCTGGCCCAGGATGTCGATCTCCTTGGCAAGGTCGTCCGCCTGGACCTCGGTCAGACGGCTCCTATCGTATATCTTGAGAACGACCTTCTCGCCGCTGCTCGTGTGGAGGGCTCGAACAATCTTGGACAGCCTGCACTTCAAAAAGCCGAGCTAAAGAAGATCGAATCGGGGCGTGCGGGCAAGGGCTGACTTTTTACACAAGAACGACAAAGGTGCAACACAGGGCCCCCGCTGCTAAGCACAGGCGTATCCGCGACTCTTTGCCATGCTGTGAAGACACGGTGTGGAGTCACCAGTGTGACAGGGCGAGGAACAACACAAGCAACACGCAAGGCGACAAAAGGCGCACTCAGGGGCCGGGGGAAGCTTTGTCATAAAGAAAACCAACGAAACAGGTCACACAAAAGGGGAGAGGGGAGGATTGAATGCGCAGCACAGGTCGCCAACCACAGCAGCAGGGTGGACACGGCTGCCGAGGACAGCGTTTTCCAGGAGTCGTTGCGAGGCAAGGAGCGGACAGCGGACGCAGGTAAGGGCGATCGTTGCCCACGGCGGCTATGACCACCGTCAGCTCGGCCCTCCCCACCTGCCCTTCTGGAGAGTCGTCATGTTGGCGTATGCGTCGATGGGCCCCGCGCTGGCCGCCCGGGAGGCCTCCGCCGCCTTGGCGAGCTCCAGCGACGGCCTGGACCTCGCGAGGTCGATCGCTGTGCGCCGGCGGGCGCCGCGCCTGGCCGCCGCGAGGTTGCCATCGCTGCCAAAAGAACAGCAGGTTGGGGACCACAATCCACAAACAAAAAAGGGGCGACGCAGCTTGTGCGCTCTGGATAGAGTTTTTCAGCCGTTCCAATCGCTGCTGGGAAGGGGAGGGAGGAGAGAAGGGGAGTGAAGGGGGGGGGGGGCGCGCGCTTACAGTGGCACCAGGCAGTCGCTGTAGAACTCCGACGGGTTGTACGCCTCGCTCTTGCAGGTCTGGGAAGGCATGGTGAGCAGGCGGGAGAACAGTGCGCAGAAGTCCGCCACCTCCGGCTCGGTGGACCGGGCGCCCCTGAGGCCGAGCAAGCCCAGCAGGAAGTTCAGCATCGACGGGCGACCGCACGGGAGGGGGGATCGCCGCCTGGACCGCACAAACAGCGCGCTGAGTGCCGGTGCCGGATGGGCTGGAGCGGGGTGGGGGGTGGGGCCTGCCGCCGGAGGATCGCTCCCCGCGGCACACGCCTCGGAAGAGAGCACAGCCCGCCCAGGCGCCGATCGAGCCCGTGGACACGCCAAATCGACTCCATGGCCCTCAAGCGGCGGTCATCACAGGCAGACAACCCGCGCCACGCCCCTTCCCGCTCCCCACCCTCCACCTCCCACCCCCCAGCCCCTTGCGCCCGAAGTGCATCAATCGAAAATCCAGCGGTGGTCGCGGGCCAGCTGCTGCCAGTCGGTCCCAAACAATCGCCCCGCACGGCCGCATCTCGCGCCCGATCCGGCGACCACGGCGCTTTCCGCGGGCCGATCGGCCCGTAGCCGAAGGAGGACGCGGCCGGACGCGTCCCCACCTAACGCGCGCCGCTCCTCCGCTCGAGCCAAATTCAAACAAATCAGCCGACTCTGGCCAAATCGGCGGCGATCGGATCCTCGGCGCCGCCCAAGGCCACGGCTGTGCGGCTCTCGGCGGGGGCCGGGGGGGCGGAAGGGCAAGACGGGCAGGCGGGCAGGCGGACAGGCGGGGCGGAGAAACGGGGGGGCGCGCTTTGCACTGCTTTGGGGCAACGGGTCGAATCAGGGACGTTTGTGGGGAAGGCATTTCGGCGGGGGGTTGACGGGCCCAGCCGACACCACAGAAGGGGGCCGGCCGATGTGGGCGCCTGCGGCACACGGATGGCGACCGGGCCCGGGGCCCCATCGGCGTCCGGCAATCCGGACGATCACGTGCCAAACGAGAGGAGTTGTTGGGCGTGGGGATGGGCGGCGCGCTGTTGTCGAGAGCGCCGTCTGTTAGCTCCATCATCATTTTTTACAGAACAAGGCAACAGGGTAGCTGTCAGCCTTCTATTTTGCCCGAGCAAAGCAGTGTCTATGACCTGTTTGCTTCAGTTCCCGCTCGCCAGCTGGCGAAGCGACACTTCTGCCGATGCATTACCATCGACAAGCGCTTCTTCGCATTGGGACTGCACAGATTCCTAGACCTCGTTTGTGCTGTGCATTGGATTTAATGAACTGATTATAGACACTGCTTTGCTCGGGCAAAATAGGGAGCTGACGGCAGCCTGACTCCCTTGTTATGTAAAAGGATAATGATGACGAGATCCGAAATGGGAAGGATTGGATTGCAGAACAGACAGCCATTGTGTATGTAGCAGTCAACCATGTCATCAAGCTGCTCATTTGTCCAGTTAATGCCCACAGCACGTTTCACTGCTGAATCAGGCTTGGTTTTTACATTTACGTTTACGTTTACGTTTTTACTTTTACGTTTTTATGCATAAAAACGTGAATTTGCAAAAGGGCCTACTTTTACGGCTATTTTTACGTTTTTACGGCTCCCTGGCACATGTAGTTTGCACGATGAAAGTTGCACACAATGATCAGTCCTCTGCCCTCTCCATCACCCGGAGCACACTGTCCACCTCGCCTGTGGCAAGGGCGATAATTGCGTTTAGCAAAAACTCGTTTTCTGCCTCTTCCAAGGCGTCTGGCTGCCACTCTCCGGACTCTGTTAATCTATATGTACTGTCCTTATGTACACCAGGCAGTTCTTGCGTTGTATTTACGTATTTTTACGCATTTTTACGCGTAAAAACGTAAATACGATCAGTTTTTACGGCGTAAAAACCAAGCCTGCTGCTGATAGACGCAGGGACCGACACAGACATTTGAGTCTCTTCGCCCACAAAGCAAGTCGAACACGGCGACCGCTGCTCATGTGTGGCAGCGTCTCACCCCCTGCAGGGGCCCAGCTGGGCGCCCGCCCCTCAATAGAGCTTTCTGGTTTGCGACAGGCGAGGCGTGTCGATGCGGTTTGGAACCGTACAGCGGTCAGGCGCGGTTGTGCAGTGGGGTGAGCACAAATACATCAGCGGTGACCAGTGGGAAGGAACTCGTTCACACGGCCAGCCGTTCGTGCGGCTCTCCTCGCAGCTGTCATGGTGTTGTTGGGATGACGGGTACTGCACAGCTGGGCGCACTCTGTCAAGTACCTTGTTGTTGTGCATTTTTATGATTTTGTAACGATTTGGGGAATGCTGGCCGAGTTCTTTATTTGATGGACTGAACAGAGAGTTCGCGGCGGATTTGGCGCTGAAAATTGGGGTCTTTGAACACATTTGATGTGGTATTCTGGGTGCTGACAAGTGATGGAGCTGTGGGATGACACAATCCACCTCATATTACTGCTTCTGATGGAAATCGTAGTGGCAGCCCTGTATGGAGACTGGAAAGATCTTGCGGCATTCAAGGAGAGCCCGAGCCTGTCGCGGCTTCTCTTGGTTTGTTGCAGAGCACCAGTTAAATCTTGGCTGATTGTTGAACCAAGAAGTCGAAGTGCCTTTGAGCACAGGAGATTGCTGTGAATCCCACCATTTCATGCAGAAAGGACGCGAGATGTGGTTCACCGCGTGTTGTGATCGAGTCGAGCTATTTTGACTTGTGCATCTGCAGTCGACGGTCATGTTCGAACGGTTGAGCACGGGTGTTGCGCATTCAATGGTGCCGTGGCGGTGTTGTGTGCTTTAAATTTTGTGGGGCGTGTGGCTCCACTCTTAAATAGGTTCCAAGCAGCTCATGTTCTAACATGATATATCGCCATTTCCTTTTGACGGGATCCTCTCCCACCCCGACACGCACACCGGCGAAGTTCATTACAAACGCTCCCATCAATCATAAACTCACAGTGTTCATGACCGTCAAGCTCAACTTGTCCTTAGCGTTGCGATACAAACCAATTTGGTTTGTACTTTGAAAGTACTAAGAATAAAACTTTGGTTTTTGCATTGTTCTCAATCTCAAAGATATTGGGGGGAGGGTGCCTGCATAGCAAACTAGTTGGCGGTCTTTGGACACGTATATTAAAGGCCTGCCAACTCAAAGTGGGAAGACTGCCAGCCGACCGAGAAATCTCGCCAGAGCGTTCCATCCAAAAGCTTACTTTGGATCGCTTTGAAACTCGTGCCAGGGCTCCCGTAAAGCCCTTGTCCCATGCTCAAACACAACTTGTGGACAAAATTGTCTAAGATGGCAGGGAAAGGGCGGCAAGAAACGTATTTTGGCCGCCTTCATTGCCCAGAATACCTGGCGCATCCAAAGCTCCCACCCACGTCTCCTTAAACAGATATTCACTGAGTTATCGATTGGCGACTAACGATATCATTAGTCTTTAATGGCTGATTGCCAATGTACCGTCTATACCTATTATCATCTTCCTTTCCAATAGATGACTTCTGATTTTAGATACATTTCAGAAGTGTACAGAATCTGTATCCCTTCATGTTCATGGCAACGTCCAAATGCTCCTCGTGTGTACTCAATATACGAGCTTACCCCATGCCTATATTAGCTTACATGATGAATAGTATTCCAGCGCGTTACTCAAATACAGCCGCCGTATCGTACATGCAACAGACGCCCTTTCACGTACAAGCCAGCACGGCGTATGGGCTACCGCAACACAGCCTTTGCGCCAACACCAAAAAATATAAATTGGCGAAGGAAACAGAGACACAACGAAGTCCGATCTTCTAACTCCAGTCCCCCAGTCAAACACTGCGCCTCATACTACGTATATCGTTCACATGGTCATTTGCACATGTCTTACCTATAGATTTTCAGGATCAACAAATGTTTGCACGAAAAGTGAACAACCAAGTTGGTATCAAAATACTATTAACTATTGAACAATGCACATGTGCACATGAAGATGTCATCTGCAACTGCTCCACGAGATTCCACGGCCAATGCAGGTCTCTTGGAATAGCGCAATATTCTACTGTAGAGCACACATTGTCCCATACAAAGATAAATGCAATCGAAAAAGCACCTCGCAGGCCAGATTTTGCCAAGGCGATTCCAGCGTACTATCGGGCGTGCAGTTTCAGGAATTTATATCCTTCCTTTACCTGCCATTTTTGCAGTAGCGGCCCATTTCAGCCTCGGTGCCTCTTTGTCTTAGAACGCAGACCACTCGCTAACTACGGGGACAAAACAAGTGACCCACCCAGAGAACGTTGGCCACCGCGTGGTGTGACGAACTACGTCGTGTTGTTGTAACTGATAAACTGATCGAGTACTATTAACAGCTGGATGTGTAAAGGGGTGATGAGGCAATAGGAACTGCATGAAGGACATTGATGGCAGGACTGGATATAAGGGACAGAACTCCTGTTGTTCCTTCGCTCGGCTGTGTACCGTTGCCGTGGACTCGAGCCTACGGGTCCCAGTCGGGGGCTGCCACACATCGACCCTGCCTGCCTCCGTCAGTGTGACGCACGATGCGCTGGCTGATTGATTGATGCTGACGAAGGCAGGCAGGATCGACCATCCACCGAGGCAAAAGGTCAACAGGCGTTCTGTCCTTTATATTCAGTCCGTTCATCAACGTCCTTAATGCAATTCCTAGTGCTTCATCATCCCTTCATGCATTCAGTTGTTAATAACACTCAATCAGTTCTAGTTACAACAATCCCATGCGGCCCACGTCCCATCGCTTTCACACATTCCCGCTGCCCGACAGTGCCAAGCGGCCTGCAGCACGACCAAAGCCAACTGGCTCCAGGAGGGGCGTGACCGGGCGGAGGAGAACGAAGGTGGGTTCCTGAGCTGTCCGAATTCGGCGCCTGAAGCGGCGTTCCGCAGCCACGGGCCAAAGACGGCCATCGGGGCGAGGTGGGCAGCTTCGGCGGTTCAGCCCAAGGAGTGGCATCCTCAGTAGGATGCTGTCATGGGCGCAGCTAAGCAGAGATCAGCCCCACAAAGCGCCGCGCAGGGAAGCAATGGGAACAGGTCCCTTCTGTGAGCGGTCAAGGGCGGATTGTGTGCAGCGCGATTGACGCAGGGTGGGTGAGCATCGCAGCCGAGTGGTGTGCGGCATGTATGCCGCGTGGTCCCAGCAGGCCAGCCGAGCACGCAACGGAGGCGCAGCGCAGGATTGAAGTAGCGGCATGGGCTCAGCTCGCAGCCACGAAGGCGCTGGGATGGGAAGAAAGGGCCTTTGATGCGGATTAGGGGCGCAGAAAGCACCGCGATGCTTGGGTGGCTGCGTGGGCGGAAAAGCACTTGCCGTGCGCTGCTGGCTGCGCTGATTGACGCCAGAGGGCAAGGCCCAGAGGGCACAGGTCCTCAGCGGCGGTGACGGAACGGGCGCACGGACGCCGAGGGCAAGCGATGGATGCGGAGGGCGGTGAGTGCGGGAAAGCAAAAGGAACGATGTCATGCTGGGCAGGCGCGGCAGCCCGCATGTTCGTTCATCCAAGCCCCGTGCCCCAAGACACTGCACCTGCCGATGTTAGATATGTACGTGGCAGCTCATCTACCAGTTGAAAGATCGGATTATCACTCCACACATCGCCTCCAGCGAAATTGACAGAACGGCACGCGAGACTGCAGAGGCGGTGCCGTACTTGGTTATGCACGTTCTTCCGGCGCACTTGCTCGGCGCTCTCAAGTGAGGATGCCATCAGTTGTTTGATGAGAACCTATCTTCCAGCGCGCCGAGGAGCGTCCATTTCATGCCAGCGATGCCTTGACAGGCACAGCAGGTGGCGGTGAAGGGAAAAGCAGCCGCGATTCTCTTTTCTTAAAGTCGCCTTGCTCCGTCACGGAAACGTGAACGAACCCACGGCGCTGCTTCTCATCGAATCCAGTTTCATTCCGTCAGCCGCCTTCATCTGTCAAGTACAGACTGGCGCATTCACACAGCATCTCAGCGGCGTGTGTTGCTCCAACCCCAGCGCTGGTCCAATTGTACTTTGGTTGTCGGGGCAGCCCGAGCGGGGATGGATGTCCGTCAGTCCCCAAGGTGATCTCCTTGGGCAATCCCAGCTTAGAGGTTTTGTAACGGCGTACCTCGTACCACGGCTCACACCTCTGTGCGGCATGTCGCGCGGGCTGCTTTGCAGCACACCATGTCTCCATCATGTAATGCCAGTGCCGCCATCGTGCGATGCCAGATGACCTCACATCTATTGGATGAGCGTGAAGCCAAAGCCCGACCGCGCCCCGTTGAAGCACCGCGCTCCCATGAAGCGGTCTTGGAACCCCGGGGACGCGCAGCTTAGGATGGTCTTGCCTGCGTCGTCATTCCCAAGAGCCGGATCCCGCACCCTGAGCCCTCGCCTCGTGGCCATGGTGCAGATTGCTGGCAAGCGACATCTTATCCCAATCCTGCACAAGGAAAGATCTGGTTTGGACGCGTGGCATCCATCAGAAACGCGGCGGAATGTTCTCGGAGTGGACGTCGGCGACCGCCTCGAGGAGGCCCCTCAGCACCACGCCTTGCTTCTGGATCGCAACGCCGCGGCGTCGCGTCGTGGACGTGCCACCGGGAAACTTAGCCCGTCGCACGTTTGTGCAAGCTGCGTACCAAGTGCTCTGCGGCAACCTGCAACGCCTGGACGCCTCGGCAGTTCTTCGTGTGGGCTGGGAGAGAGTTGAGAAGGTCTGCGGGTTTGATGTGCCCCACACACGCTGCGGCTCCTTGAGAAAGAAATGATTGGTGAGTTTGCGGCCACCACCGTGATCACTTCAGTACTGAGCCCTTCGCCTAGGCCGTGATCCCGGTGCGCGGTGCAGTCATTTGTGTGCCGCAGAAACCGAGATACAAGCTGCTGGCGACATCGTTAGCCCAGAACCCCCGCGCCACGCGGCCCTGGGTGCAAATGAAAGGCCCGCAACGCGACTATGGGGCCCGGCCACGGGTCCCATCCAAGAGCTCCGGAGCTGGGATCCTGGGTTCAGCCCTCATTGAAAAGAGCAGCACACACCCAAAACGGCAGGCTGGCAGCTAGACTTGGGGCCCGTTCGCTCCCACGGCGCCCTGCTGCGCCCCTGCTGCGCTCCCAGAAGCGGGGTCCACAAGCGGAGGCCACCGAGCAGCTGCCCTGTTCACTGTTCCCTGCAGGGACCGGGAAGGGCTGGGATCCCCTCGGAGCGGCGCGACACAAGTGGCGTGCTCCGAAACTTCCGTGCGCCATCCCCTTCATCGGACGGCGTGCTGTCGGGCCGGGACGTGAAGGTGAGGCCCCTGCGGCAGCGCCACATCGGCCCTTTGCCGTGCGGCAGCGTGGGCTGTGATCCCGAGCGCCTGTAGAGAGGGGCTTGGTTTCCAACGACACCGTCGCTTGCATTCCCCGTTGTCTTTTGTGCCGAAGGGCACCTGATTGCCGTTGTTGCGTTTGACGAGGAGGTCGCCGTGGGCCGCGTGGACGCGTTCCTGGCGCGCGGCAGCAGCAACCGTGGCCCGGCATTTGAGGTGTCTTCCTTATCGATCCGAGTTTTCGCGGATCTGTACTACGCTTGTCGTAGATCCGCTGGCCTGCGGAGGTTCCGCGTTGGCCACGCACCAGCGGGAGTGCCGTGCCACGGTTGGCCGTGGTGGGCAACGTGACGGACCAGTTGCTGTTGATTCTGTCGCTGCTGTGTGCTGTGTCACGCCGCATCAGGGCAGCAGTATCTTTGTCCGCACGAGCGGCTGTCCACCCCCTGGACATCCATTCGGGAAACGCGTGCGGCAGACTCCGTGCTCTAGATGTGCCCGCACTTGTGCCGCAACGGTGATTTCTGCCCCCAGCCGTGTCGTGTCGCCGTGGGGTTTGCGGCGATCTGGCCGCGCCCAGGGGCAATTTCGGTTTGCCCGTTCGCGCACCGCGGCGGAAGAGAGGGCTGACCGGACCGGGCAGGCAAGGATCATGGGCTGGGGGCGTGCATGAACGGCTTAGCGCAACCATGGGTCAGTGCGGCGGAGAATAGGCCCGCGGGTCTGTGTGCTGTGCAGTGGAGATCTGGAACGGATGTCTGGCCCTGGCCATCCAAGCCGAGGCGCCGGGTCCATGATCGACGCCGTACCGCTTGTCTTCATCCTGTATGTGGCCACCGTCGGCCGAAACGAGCCGTGCATGACTGGAGTCACCGGCGGTGGTTGGTCGACTCGACGGCGCAAACTGGCTGGAATTTCACGGCGAACACGCCGCAGCACCGCGTCGTGGCATGTGCCTGGAAGCTTCGAAAATTTGGTTGCTAAAATCCCCGTCGCGCCCAGTAATCAGGGGCGCAAGGGGCTGCGGGTGCTGACGGGCCTCTTGGCACGGTGAGCACATCATCAACATACATTTGGCACATTGTGCTCATGACCGTTAGGAACTTGAGCAAAGAGGTGCTTTGCAACCATGTCAAAAAGAGGCGCTTCGAGACGGATAGTGCCACACGAGGCGAACTCAAAGGGAACACTGCCAGACTGGCAAGGTTTGCCTGAAAAATTATTCACCAATTATCGAAAATGGACGCTGCCTTCGGCAAACCTAGCCAACGCAATAATGCTCCCTTTCAGTTCCATTTGGGAGGGTGGCATGCGCAGTACATCGTGAATGAACTCCCTTACAGCTTAATGACAGCCATAACCCAGTGCTTGGAATCTCGGCGCGCCAGATGCAAGCGCATTCACAAGTCGCACCTAGGCGAGCGCAATGGCCACGCGACGGGCGCGAAGCGCTGGTTGTTCTGATGGCCATGAGCTGCTCGTCACGATCCATGCTTGGCATGCAGCGCCCACGGACCACTGAGCTTTTGCGGCCCGAAGTGAATAGCTACAACCCACTTGTGGCTACCGCATTAATTGATCTTTCGTGTGCTGCGATGTGCAAGTCAATGGCTCAGCATCTACCAAACATCACTGCCCCTTGGCCCCCCCCGGCCGCCGCCAGGCCTTGCTGCCTCTGGGACGCACACCCTTGCCAGTCCGACAAGCATGCGGCTCCCCTCCAGTGCCTCAAAACGGTTGCACCAGAGCTCCAGATGACATTATATGATTAGGAAAATGAGCTCGTCGGGTATCTGCACCGTAGTCAGTGGATCGTATTCATGGCCGTAGGACAGCCGCTTGTTCTTATGTCGTGGAACTGGTCGCGATGTCGTGCAAGAATCCGCAACTGGCACTTATGAGCCACGACGGACTGCAGTTGGCAAACGGGTCAAGTGTGGATTGCGAGGTTTTCCAAAATTCAGGAAATTTGTGCTGCATTACTGGCATCCACGCTTGAGAATTTCAGCCGCGGGGAGGCTATCCTTCCGTGTTTGGCATTGATGCAGTCAGACATTGGAGCTCGTACCGTGGGACCGCATGAGCCCAAGAACTGCGAGCAATCACTTGCAACGGGCATGTTTGGCAGCGGCAGTGTCCTAAAGATGCAAACAAAGATTAAAACCCAACAACCCAATGCTCCCCCTACAATCCCGCTATGAAACATTACATTCATATGATGTCGTGATGCTGTTGCCTGGGTGCAAGAACCGATGGCATCACGCGATGTAGCACCTCGTAACTCAATACCGAGTGCGGACATCCCGTCCACCCTTCCACCTCACTTGAGAAAAGACTTCAGATACAACATGTACACAGAATGGGAGCATCTTGTGGTGGAAACTCATTTAACATTATCAGCATCCTAACAGTGGGGCATATAAACCAACAGCGCTTCTCGAGTCGGATTGCGGTGAACGCTGCATTGGATCATGCATATGGCACTCTGGAAATACTCTCGTATTATTTGGGACTGCTTGATGGCGATGAGTACTGCTAGCACCAAGGGTTTAACAGTTTTCAATGTGGGTGCTTTGAGCATTGCACTGTCCTCGGATAAGCTGTGCCAGGAAATCTGCGTATATAACTCTATATTTACGTATTGTATCGTATGTAGATCAGTTTCGCCTAATTGGCCCTGTGTCCCTGAAAAGCGTAGAAGAGACGGATACCTGCTGGGCGCATCAGTGAAAGTGATGTATGTTTGTCGCTCCAAGCAGCTGTCCCTGGAGCAAGCAGCAGATATGGATGAGGTGGACCTCTAGACAAGAACAATGTCCGCATATACGATACAAGTACATTATTTGTTGCAATGGTGCTTCTACATATTTCGGTGAGATATGTCGCTGATGTGCAGGAGTTTGAAGGGCGAATGCTTCGGGCCACTGCAACCTTACTGCCCACGTCTGTTTTACTCTTTTTTGTGGGAATCTCATATGGCGAATTAGAAATGAGTGCGGTGAGTTTCAAACTATTTTCTTGTCATAAGTTGCTACGTTAGCGCATGTGGAACAATAGAGTTATCATTAGTGCCTTCACTGACCAATGAGGTATTTGCGTATTGATGGCTGTTATTGGCACTACTTGCATGCAGAAAGACCAATGAGATATTTGGCGTCAACGGTGTGCAATGCAAATGGAGGTAATCTACAGTATTGAATGCGCACAGCCATAAATGCATGATGGCGGACACTCGAGGTGATGTGCAGTGGAAAATCAACCCTGGTTGCAGACACATAACCATTTCACACAATTGTGTTGGCAAATGTTGGTCCGTGTATAGGGACATGACTTTGCCTCTGCCTTGCTGTTCCAAACACCCCCAAAACATCATTTCCAATATGCAAATCATGTACTTTCCTGTTCATGCAAATGTTTTTTGAGGCCCAATGTCGCATTTGTGCGTGAAGGATGTTCAACTTACTGGAAATGGGATAAAGTACTTAGCATTCCTTATCTAAAGTGTTAAATGCGCTGAAGGCCAAACTGTTTTTGTTTGGAAAATTTTCTTTAGGGCATCTCCCCACAGCCCAAGTTTTCCTGTGACGCCCATTATAACATTGGTGAGTTTGGTCCATTGCGCGAAGGCATTTCCTCAACTGCTCAGCCGATGTTGTGATTTTCGTTGCTTTCAGGGTGGCTGGGCTACGGTTCCCAAATATCGTTTCCCAGCAGTGGTCACAATACGGATAAGAGGCCAAGGCACCTTCGGGGGCGTACTTATAAACGATTGCTTCGTACTTACCTCAGCCCAACTATTGGACTCCCATGACCGCCCCCCAGTCACCGTCCTTGTTCACGACATTGAAAAAGGGGGAACGCGACTGGTAAGAAAATTCCATGTAAAGATTCACATAATTGTGCGTTTGGCGACGCCTGCAGAGCCAAATGGCAGTCAACTGCTTGAACACCACTGTGCACAAGTGATGCAAATTTCAAATTTGCTTTTCGGATTGTGGAACTCTCACATGGATACCAGGCGTCCCAGTGCAGTGCAATACCTAGGCCCGTTGAGGGGGATGAGATGCACGGCTCTTGTTCTCAACTCTGCTCGCTGATATGGCGCTGTGTTCGATTCAACTACCCAGGAGCTAATTGATCCGCACAGAGAAATGCCAGCTATGCAAAAGAAAGGGTAAGAAATGCAACAGGAAAACTGCATGACCGGCAGTGGCCACTTCATTGTATAAAGTTATGCACCCCGTACCCATGTTGTATACCCTGACTGACTTTTCCCAAAGTTGTAGGATGCGGCAATCCGCTCTGGGCCATAGTCTGTGGCCAGCATAGGTGTCCCCAAGATGCTACCTCAGCGGCTTCTGGCGGTGTTTGACTCGCCGTGAGCAGTGTGCTCTATGACCAGTTGTTCAACGGTGCATTTCCAGCACTCAGTCTGGCATTGAGCCTTCCCTAGAAATGCTACATGCAAAAGAAAGACCATTGCAGGGCAAATGATCGCGAAATCTCGACGTTTCTTCACAGCGTAGACACAGAAAAGGCACCGTCATTTATGTATTCCATAGTACAAGTGAAAGCGTCGCTTTTTTGATTCGAACTCGTAGTATCGATTACAATGTTGGGGCTTGAGAGTAGGGGCGGGGGCCACAGCGCAGCAATTGAAAGATTAAGCGACGGCGCCAGAATTGAAACAGGGCAGAGAGATACCAGAACAGCCTGGAGTATTTGCGAGGAAAGACTGTTCGCAGATCCTATTCCATGCCCATGGTTGTATCCATGTAATACATGGAAATATTTACGGGGTGTTTGCCTCTAGGCAAAACTCCACATATCACTATTATCTTGGTGTCTGTTGAGTTGCAAACGCACTACACATAATGGAAATATATCCTTGGCTCGTGAATATGTAAACACAAATAGTGGTCCTGGCTACCGCCAACGTTGTTCGCTGATAATTAACGATCCAAATTCAAAAGTGGTGTGTGTGTTTAAGATACTGAAGTCAACACGTACATGGATCTAGTAGCTCAACATCAAATTTTTCAACAACAATCTCTGTAAAATGGCGAATTTCTGATCTTTTATTATCAATTTTAAATCCGAATCTTTCTCATGTGTGCGCTCTCCTGTGCCCAGGAATTCGGTGTTGATGATGTTTATATCCATCCAAGCTGGACGGGGAATTTCAGGGAAGGATATGATGTGGCTCTCATCAGGCTCAACAGGCCAGCTGCCAGTCCAGTTGCAATCCTTGCGGAGCCGCCGTCACACCTGCTTCCCAACTCCAAAGTGTTTGTACTGAGGTCAGGGGAAGACATCCAGCTGGCGGAGTTCCACGTTGTCCCCAGCGGCTTCTATCCTGACCTTGGACAATTGGAACCACACATGTTGTGCGCGATCTCGCACCACGCAAATTTGAGTCCAGGCAAGTCCACTTCAGTGGAGAGAATTCCTTCGTCTTTTCTGCACACTCTGAAGCCGGTGGTCAAAATGCACGTTTTGGTAGTTTTTATTGCTGCACAATACATTGTGGTCGTTGTCATGCTGTGCCCAAGTTTTTCATACCTTTGGGATTTCAAGGCAGTTTGTCGTCATGTACGCAAGTTGGCACATGTTTCCGAACGTGTTCAACTTCTCCACCTGGTTTGAACCACTGAACTTGTTTACGCTGTGCAGGTGATCTGGGGGGCCCAGTAATACTTCCACATATTCGCTCAGGAGAAATGGCCCAAAACCTGGGTAGCAACAACTTGAGCGAGATATTGCAAGGAACCCCGGAGATGGACATCGTCGTGGGGGTGTTGTCCCATGCAAATTTTTCGCTGGTGCACCCCGGGGCCAGTATTTTCACTAGTGTTTCGAGCATTGAAAAGTGGATAGACAATGTAACATCGAGTGATTTGGATAAAAACCGCGACAGAAATATCAAATTTTGGAGTGTCAAAGGTGAGATTGAGTGGGGGATTTGACAGCCATGTGCATCGGTGATCATAAATTGCATCTGTGAAGTGTATTTGCACACAGAGCTGCTTGCAGACAACAGCAGAGCTTGGAAAGATCTGAGCGAAGTTTTCAGGAAGCGATCGATAGGTTTGGATGAATCAAATTCCAGTATAACGTGATAATCAGCTGCGCATTTTTAGTGATCGAAATACATCCATGCAATACAGACTGCTATTTTGCAAACCAGATAACTGCCTTGAACATTCACAGCATGTATTAGTAGAATGCAAGAACTGAGCCAACGTTGCTGCGTTCGATTCCCAAACAAAAGGCCACGTTGCTAAGTGCAAGCTGCATGGGATATGCAACCGAAAATGGCTTCTTAGTGGCATCTGCAACGGGCAAATGCACGTTTTCAGTTTAACGCTAATTTGGGCAATTGGGATTGCTTCAAAGAATGGCATCAATGCGCCCGCGATATTAATAATTTGAGGTGCCGGGCGTCCTCATCGCCTTCTGCTTTAATGAACTGGCATTCTGGAGCACTGTGAGGCACATTACTTCACATGGTAAGATTTATGCCTTCAACTTCCTGTGATGACCCATTGAAGAGGGTGCGCATGCGTCAGTATAGAGAGTATCTCTAATAATGGACTTATTGATACCAATAGCATCCAACAGTATTCAAGACTGGTAGAACTGAAATGGCACCAACCATCGCCACACAAGACCACCCCTGAGAAATTACTTCCTTTTCCTGCGAATGCCGTTGGAGAAGAAAAGGAACTTGAATCTACGGGCCTTTCCAGTTTTCATTCATTCGTGATTCGCAAATGCAGGTGGGAAGTCCCCTGCGCATCGTACATGACATGAATGACGCACAGCACAGTCGTGCACCTGCAGTATTGCCTTCTCGCACACCGACTTGGGCGCATGGCTACAATCTCCGTGCTGGGAAATGTAGTACAACTGGACTAGGAAAAAAGGTCCAAATAACACGTGTTCAAACGTGCACAAAGTTTACGGGTTTGTGTTAACTTTGCGTTCCTAACGTGCACAACTTTTATCAACTTTGTTTTATGGGTGTTCACAAAAAAGCTATTTGGTTCTTTTGCGCTAGTGCTGAGGGCATGCTTTCTTCGATAGGTTCATCTCGCTGCTCAGGAAAGCCATACCACAGGACGTCGAAAATACCACAATCAAAGGTATGATACATAATCTACAAATAATTGGGGCCTGAGTCCCTGCCTTCTTCGATGGTTGCCATGCTTAGCTACAGCAGCCTGTTGGGCCTCTTGGCGGCTGCCTATGCACAAATTTGTGGTGCAATTCGGCACAAAGTAGCATGGTTGCATTCCTTGCAGCGTATGAGAAAAGTGCATTCAATCGGGTATGGCGTAGCAAATCCTTGTTGGACTGATGCTTGCAGTAGTTTGCCCTCGAACTGATTGTCACACCACAACTGCACTTATATGCACTTTGGAATCAAGGAACGTCAGTGACAATGCACTTTTGTAATATGCTGCTGCCAGAGAGGATGGATAAGGGCGCCAAGAGGTCGCTTGAAGGCGTTTGTGAGCGTCAGGGGAAGGGGGCGCGATCATGCATGTGGAGGAGTAATGATTGGGAAGCGCCACGTGCTGACATCTGCCAATTGCATAAATGTGGTTGGACCGAACCCGATTGTTATTATCGGCGTCCAAGGCATTGACGACGACAGGAGAGTGGAGGGTGTGCAAGTGAGTTGGCAATGTTGGTTGCAATCCACATGCTTGCGCCAGGACCCTCGGATATTCCTAAACACTCACGACTTGATTTTGCCGTTGATATGCAAGATGTGACCGCAACAGCGGCAGCGCCATTGTGTGATTTACACGTGATTTGAAGGCATTGCTACACATATGCCATTTGTGAGGTGAGTTTTGATTTAACTTTTACATGCCATTTCCTCAGAGTTTAACACTTCCAACGCACATGTACTTGCCAATCAGATAACCACATGATGCCGTAGTTATCCAATGCAATGGGTTTTTAAATCTTCACTACATTATCTTTCAATTGTCTTTGTCCAAGATTGAAGTAAGTATCTCTGTTAGGAGACCGATATGTATGAGGTGTTTTCTTTTCCCTTAGGATTGAAATACAGAACTTCTTATGCATATAGTCAATCCAAGTCCACGATCAAGCCAGTAACAAAAAAAGGCCAAAATACACGGTTTTCAAGATCATGCAAAAATCGTGTATTTATCGTATAAAATGGAAACAACCCGTGTAGTAACGATTGGGTGAGTGTATGTGACTTTTAAATGTGTTAGCACGGATTTGCATGATTTTACGCGGTTCGAAGCAGCGTTTTTGGTCGATTTTTTTTGCTTGTGACCGTGGCGCTGGGCTGTGCGCCACGGGGGCAGAGTCTCCCTTGGCCCCTGGAGGGCGGTCGCCCGGATGTTAGGTCTCGGGCGTCCTCCAGCAAGGTGGAGAGGGTGGGGTTGGGGTTGGGGGTGGGGGTGGGGGTGGGGGTGGGGGTGTCTCGAAGGGTCGTGGAGAAGAAGGTACTCGTATGCTATTAGGTATGAATATGGGGAATGGAATCAATTTCGTTGTACTAGATGTTCAATGGAAGTGGGTGAGATCCTGATGGCTCACTAGCACGGAAAGGAATGTCAATAATGAACACAATTGATTCCGGCTTAAATCCGATGGCGAGAGGCCTAATGCACAAGCTCATCTGTTAAGCAACCTTGCTATTGTTTTTCGAGTGCACGAGCACCCCTTGACACATTGGATATAGTAAATTGGCAAGCACGGGTGGAAGGCTGGGATGAGGATGGTCAACTGTGGACAAGGCGGTAAACTTGTGCAAAGCCAATGACTGGATAGCGGAAACCTTTCGTGAAAGCCGATCGCCCATGGCTGAGGGGAGCTAAATATCCTGGAAAGGTAGCAAAAAAAAAGCGAGCTGGTCAGAACTAGAACTTCTGTAGAACACCATGGAAAGGGAAGTTTTGCGTGGGGCAGGGGGTTTTGGATGGTACATTTATGGTAGCAATCCAGCGTTAACCGATGCTCAAGCGCCATGGCAAGTCGCTGGGTGCTCGAGGGGAGTTGCACGCGCGGGATACTTTTCGACCTTTGGACCGAGTCGCGCTGGTTCAAAGTCTTCCATTTGTACCGTATCATTCCGATCAATGCAATTTGCAAGAATTGTATATGGTGGTCTGGTCTGATTCAAAATAGAGGTAACAAGTGCGTCATTCCGATGAAGCCTCCAAACCATGTTGCTTCGTTTGATTCTGGACCGAGGTTAGGCCAGAATATGCCATGAATGAATGACTCACAAGCGTATTTCCAATCACATAACTTCTTGAGCAGCCGATAATCCGCTCCGGACGTGGCTTCGGACGCCACGTTCAGTCCCAATCAACATTTTTTTAGCAATAACATTATGCTGCAGTTTTTTCAGCACATCGTTGAGCCAACAGCACGCTGGGAATTATAATAGGCCCTCGCTGCGTCGATACAGTCGCACATATTCCACGTGCCCTTTCTGAACGCACCATGAAATTCGCCATGCGCAGGAGCACCGCGCTGAAATGGCCCATATCCACCCAATGTGGAATGGCAATGTCGAAGAGGGCTATGATGCTGCACTCCTACGGCTGTCGAGGAATGCCGACGCCCCTCTGACTAACCTACCTAATCAAAAATATGATTTGCAACCCGAGTCGATGGTTTGGGGCTTCAAACTTGGTCCAGCTCTGGAAATGGCGCAATTTCGCGTTGTGGCAAATGAAGAATGCCCAAGGATGAGCTCCCTCGGGGCTGGCATGTTTTGTGCTTATTCAGAATCAGCTTTCATGGAGCCAGGTAAGGCGATTTGAGCGGCTGTGGTAGGGACAAATCTTGATTCCGAGGTGTGTATTGATATTATTGTATCGCAGTGAGAATACATTCTGTTTTCCTATGGTGTTGCATTAACTTTGCTGCTCTGGTGGCATCAAGCCAGCGAATATGCATAGGGTCTGTTTCTTTATGCAGAACTGCTGACAAATGCCATTTGAAAGTACAGCTCCTATTGCAGTATGCGTATTTGGGACTTTCACTATTTGCAAGAACATGCACGGTCAAGTTTAACTGCAATGAATCAGTGGTTGTATGCCTTTCCATGTTTGCCGTGCCTTTTCACCTAATCGTACGCATGCAAGATACGGAGGAAGGCCAGATTAATTCAAGCAGACTAGGCGTGAAATTCCACAGCAGTACATGAAGAACATGGATCTTCTTTGTTCCATTGATATGTCATTGAGCAAGAGAGATAAGCGCTGATTCTAAATTAAAACCGCGCGTTAAATGCATGCCAGGTTCTTCTGGCAGTCCACTGTTGATCGCTAAAACTGATGACGTCAAGCAATGGGACGCCAACAAGGACTTGCTTGTGGGGATTGTGTCATGCGCAAACTACTCGTCCCTGCAAAACAGCGGGGTGGGCTGTGTACTCATAAGCAGCATTGAATCGTGGATTCAACAAGTCGTATCTCCGCAGGTGAGTATTTTCAACCACATGGATCGATACATGTTTGCTATGTCTTCTGTCTGGATCTAAGTGAAACCATGCTGGGCGTTTTCGCCGCAAGTACGTGTTATCCTTACATAGCATCCTTGCACATATATAGCACTGTATTGCAGCTGCAACTCTTTGGTTCATAACTTGAACCTTTCCACTGTATCGCTGACCAAGCCAACATCAATTTTGGAATAAGAACTGTTTCCTGCCCACAACAGTACTTTCCACATCCTTCCAAACATTTGTGGGGCCTTATAACCTGCAGGCACGCCGCCCATAGTGGCGCACTCTGAGAATACCGAAACGCTGAATTCCGCCGATTTCTGGGATTTCAAAACTGCAGTTGAAAAGCGATTTTTTGCAAATTCGCGTGGACGATCGTTCACGTTTGGTGTCCTTCGAATGGACGTAATGAAGGTGTGTTCTGAAAGTGACTGCCCTGCCAGACGCATGCGCTCTGTACCTGGGCGGAATGCCCTGGCCCTGGGCCCCCACATTGATTTGGGGATTTGGGGTTTGATACAATCCGTACCGCTGTTCGTTGGAACTTGCCCCCGGGACTATGCTACGTTTGCTGTTTCAAGATGCTGGGATAAAGGTCATCAGCGCAATCGGCCCATTCAGTTAATAGATGGATTTTGGGGGTGGGACTTCAGAAAAATGAAGGCCATTAATAGGCCTATTATTGCATGCCATTGTCGATATCAAATTGATTTTTCACAATTATCGTGGAGTACTCGATACGCGCCGAGCCAGGATCATGGCAACCATGGCTTAGGTCATATAATCATACTTGCCAGTGGATGTTGTACGTGTTCCGTTAGCTTAAGCATGGACCTGACCATGGCCGCAAAGCGGTGCCATCCTTTTTCATCTGCTACCCCGTACATGCCTCCCGTGCTTGCTTTTCGTGCTTCCCAAGAAAATCACACTATTCGCACTTATTTCTATATGATTAATGTGGTGCGAATTGATGCGATAAGCGATCAGTGTACCTTGTATGGTACACCCCCCTTGTGCCTCAGGGAGGTTCGTGAGGATTGTGTAATGTGCGATGTGCTTGGGCTCGCGTGGGACATGGGGCATGAGGGTTGGGATTGATTTCTCTTCGCTACATATACTGGACATAATCCACGGAGATTCTATTACTCATGCCAGTTCACTGCATTTCATGGGACAATAGGGAATGGCGATATGGGACCATGAATAATCGATTCCGAACGTATTATCTGCTTGGTTTCCACGCCCATCATCGCCTACCAGGTGCACGGGTTGTGTTTTGTCATTTTGTGACAAATGTAATCCATGGATTTTGATGATGATGACACTAGGAAGAAAAGGGCAAAATAACACGTGTTCAAACGTGTACAAAGTTTACGGGTTTGTGTTATTTTTGTGTTCTTAGCATGCAGAACGTTGATGAAATGTGTTTTATGTGTGTTTGTAAAAGTGTTATTTGGCCCTTTTTTCCCTAGTGTGATGATCAGTGTACCTTCCCACTTTTCTTGCAAAGTTCTCAGTCGTTCTGCACCTGTCTCTTTCAGGCACCTTTTCTGGATTGGAGCCAAATATTGGACACCATCCATGAACACATCACGTCGCTGCCAGTCGTGGAAAATCTGCGCTTGCTGACTCAAAATTGGCTTCAGGCATATGCGGAAGTTCTCCAGCCTTATATCGTGCAGGTTCGATATTGCAAATACAGTGCGTCTTTTGCGATAGGTTGTTTGTTGCCTCTGCTACTTTCGAATTTTTGTGTGGTTTTTTGGACCAAATGTGACGCCAACTCAGGTGCCAATGATTGGATGTTATGTGGCGCCCGTACAGCGTGCCCATGAGCATTGCGGTACACAGTCAGATTTGTGTAGCGGATCTTTCCAATTTCATTAGGCTTGATCTCTGTCAATTTGTACAGAAGCGCTGCTGCATTGTTCAAGATGAAGGGGACATTGCTCGGCGTTAAGATCCCTGTGCATTGACTCAGGTGATATGTTTATAGTTGAATTGTACCATATTGTGCAGCATTCGGGCAAACTGAACGTGTTTAATGCCAGTAGATTGTACCATTTAAGTACATCTACACTCCAAGTAAGCCTCGATAAATTACCCAAGTTGTCGCAGCAGAGCGCTCCGTACAGCTAAGAGCACCCAAAGATCATCATAAGCTCTGGATCGAATTCTTACTTGAATGTACTATGCCTTCGATCAACGCCCGTGCCCAGCAGCGCTACATTGATGCGAGTTGTGAAATGCAGCCAATCGGCCAGGGGTGCATCTTCTGAAATGGTCTCCGTGGTTGCATGTCATGATGAGTATAACAGCGGTGCCCAATGCAGATGACCCGAGGCATGTATTCATCACATGTATACATCACGAACATGTAAGCTTTGCTGTCCGGGATCGATACTATCACATACCCTCACGACTTGCACTGCTGGTGGCGAACGGTCATGGCACGCCCCCAGTGGAATCACCCACGCGTCATTCTCCAACGGCCGTCGGTATATTCTGTTGTTAGTCACATTGATGCCTCCATACCTCCACAATATTGTGGACATGGTGCCTGGGCAGCCACCTTACTGACTGTATGTGCTGTTCGCATGGGCCTTCATGACCATTGCACGATGGAACGCGAAGCCATGATCTTGCCATAGTTCATGCAGCCCGATCTCAAGTAGTATCCAAAGAATGTTCGATTGCATCGCACCGCTGTGGCTGCGATGCGTTCGGGTTACAGTTCATCAAGTTAACACCACAACTGGGTCGCCATGTCGCAGGGAGCCCCTTTTGTTGCCCGGGCCGTCTTTGTGGCAGGGGCGCTCCTGCTAGGACAGGTGTTGTGGACTCTTATGAGACAAATGGTAGGCTTCCCGGGTCTGGCCGGCCGTTCAAAACAACAATTTGCTGTGCACAAAATTCTCGCTAGAAAACACCCCTTGCGCCATGTTTGTGCCCACGCTCATGAACACAGGAAGTTTGCAAGTGCGGACAGTTTACTCAAGGACCCTCTTCAAGAAAGATGCCACACAAGTCCAAAGCGATGCTTGCGAAATGCTGTATTCGCTTTTTGACGAAAAGGCGTTCAAAACAGTGTTGCTCTGGGGAAACGGATTAACTGTGACAATGCTACCAGCAGATGATTATCGTGTGCTAATGTGGTGTTAGTTGCACGCAGCTTAGTCACCGCGTGTTCATCTGAAATTTTCCACCAGAGAATTGCGGTACCCGGGTGGTTGTCCGCAACTTAGACGCACTCTGGTACTGCTCATGCATTCCTTTGCTGGATACCCAAACCAAGGGGCAGCCTGCGATGTGATACCGTGGGAACGTGACATGTAGTCTCAATTGTGGGCATTGTATTTTGTGTGGTGCCACATCAGGTGCTATGGGCGTATAGGGTTCTATCTTTTGTTTGCGGACATATCTCATTAGTTTTTGCACTGTTGAAGCCCCCAAAGTGCCGCTAGAGGACTGAATGGCCAGATATTCCATGAGTTGATTTGATCGGCGCAAAAGGCACATAGCCGCGCTGAAGTTTCCCCATCAAATTTTCTAGTGCACTGGCTTCCAAGAATTTGTCGTTGAGTACCCAGCGCCCGGATTTGCGATGCAAATCAACGTTGTGTCCCGTACATCTTCACAACAGCATTCGCAACTTGGATGTTTCTGCAATCCAAATCACCACTTATGTCCGACAATTGACCATTTACTAATTTTCCTATGCTACTGAAACACACGGCGCTTGGGTTGGTTCCTTTCGTGGGATTGGGTAGCAATTTGTGATGTAGATACCAAAGCTTGCAGTGCGACATTCGTCGTACCGAATTCGAATTTCATTCCGAGACTTAAGCTGTAGTGCACATCCACAGATAAAGGCGTGGGATTTCAACTCCCTGCAGAAATGCGCAAAGCGATGTCATGCGCCCAGAATCACAAAGCATACTATGGCGAACTCGGATGTTGCCCAGCACACCGGAATGGGAGCACTAAGGCATGTGTGCGTGATTCTCTACTAGGTGCACGGACGGAGGAGAGAGCGACTCGTCCACAGGGAATGATATGTGGACAATATGGTCGCGGTGGGCTGCAGGCGACATTATTAATACAAGATAAGCACGCCGTGCCGTGCGCAGCTGGGGTTTCTCGCAGTCCAAACATTGGTGGGAGGCTCACCGGCGTTGGTGGCGGTGATTTCATGGCGACAATCATTGACAGTGGAATTCAGAAAAGCATGATGGCTTCCATGCCCTGGCGCAACGACGGGACCAGAATATTGTCACTCTCGCCGGCGCTCTGGAACAAGCAGAAAGATTGATATTATATATTAATATGAGTGTTAAAAATTGATCACCAGGGTAAAACGAATGAGTCCGTGAGCTTCATGAGGGAGGACGCTCTTTCTTACCGATTTGAGCGCTCGGGAATAACAAAAAGGCCCCCCTTTTTTGTGGCCATTCTGCTGCTGTGATGCATAACGCTATGGTGAAAGTGATAGGGGCTTCTGGGGGAATTCTTTAATGAATAGGGGATATTCTTTTGGTTAATTAGGATGTGGCATTCTTTCTTGCCCACCGCATCTTTTCGGGAGAGGAGGAGCGCTGATGGGCAGCACTATTTATTGGACTCTCCATTTCGTTTATGCCTATGGATTAGGGTTCATTAAGGGTTCAGCTGCATATTAGTATATATTTTCTCGTCACGCAGCATCCGTGATTGGCATTTTCAGGGCCTCATAAATATAAAACTAGGATTCTTATTGCTTATGACACGTGGAGAAAGTTTGCCTGGATTGATCAAGAGTGAACGGCCCTGGGTGTGGATGAGCTGCGTTGTCCGCTGTTATCTTTGCAACAGACGGTGCACTTTGAAGCTGCTAGTTGCATCAGCGCTGCGAAACGCCATGTCTTTCGGTGCTCATATCGGCTTGGGTGTTGAAGAATGCGGTGAACTGCTGCTGTTGTTGCGAAAGCTACAAATGGCATTTCTGCGAATCCAGGCGCGGTGGAGACACGAGGAGGGAGTTGCTCTTCGTCTATGCTTTTGCAGCGTGAGTGGGGGCACCACCACTGTGGAGGTTTTCCAGTCCTGAATTGAGCGTGCCAGTTGAACGCAGTTTCCCTGTGCCTGTGGTGCATATAAAGAATGTGTGGCTCTTGCATGGCGAATGGTTGTCAAATCGGCACCCTCAATTGGCACAATCAGCAGCCGATATGGTGTCTTCATTCTCACGGACTATGGCCTTAGGCATTGGACGATGGAGGAAGTGAGCAATGGAGTAGATAGGAGGCGATCTTACCTTCTACTTCTAATACTGGGGTAACAATGGCGATTCCCACTGCTGTCAAGAGATCGCAGGGCCACACTCCATTCCCTTGTTTGATGGTTTGTGCTGATGGTTGTCATTCCTTGGCTTTAAAGGCGAAGGGCGATCCCAAGGGGATCAACTTTCCTTTCTGTCCTCCACCTTCTCGGTTTATTCCAATTACAACTTTTGTGAACAATTGAAATGATGCAACACATCCAATCGACACACAAGAGTTTCTTTGGAATGTGTTCCAGGCACATGCATAACCAACCCTTATCAAATCAGAACGTGCCATACTGCTCGAGCTGCTGCAAATGCACCCGCTATGGTGCTTGTCTCGGTTGTGCTCATGCCCCATTAAGGGAACGCATTGTACACTGACAGGCATTGTTCAATTTTCGTCAAATCCGCTATCAACGTTGTGCTTTACTAAAACGCGTGAGTACATGGTAGCACAGGTTAAGTAGATTGCTCAACATCAAAACGGTAGATTGGGCAGCACCACTAGTAACACCATCGGTAGAAGGCCGTGGCCTACACATATATGTGGTGTGTATATATGTATATATATATATATATATATATATATATATATATTTTTAATTCCAAATGTATTACAGATGTGTGAAAACGAGGGAACTCCCCGGCAACTCTCAAAGTAGAGTAGGATCCTTTTCCAGCAGGAGCCGATGTAGGATCCCAAACAAAAAGAGAGCAAGATGCCAGCATTGTTCGTAGTGGCCAGAATGTTCCTGCAGGGGAGTCCCAAGCAGCAGGGCAGAATGTTCAGTCAGGAGGAGAATGTATCAGGTCATGTCCCAAATATTCCAGAACGTCCCAAGATGTCCCAAGTTGTCCCAAGCTGTCCCAAAGTCTCCCGGAGTGTGCCACAATGTCCCATATCCCATGCCCTGTCTGACTTCCAGCGTCGAACTTTCCCAGTCTCGACAAACAATAGCCTCTCTCAATGGGAAAGATCAAGCAATCAATGCATAGTGGTCCTTCAAAAAGCCCTCAGGAAACGAGCCAAGAATGGTCGTCCCGAGCCTGCAAGATAAGCCCAACTCCAATCATGCTGTCCACGTGTCAAGTCACGGATCTCACTGGCCAGCTGCTGCCGCAGAAGTGCAAAATGGGGACAATGGAATAGTCTGTGATCTCTGTCATCTATGGGGGAGTGACACCATGTGCACTGTGAGTCATTGATAATATGGAACCGATGTAAATACTAGTTTGTGGGGTAGTGGCCCGTCAGAAATTGAGCCACTGTAGATACATCATTGCGGGAAAGAGCCTCAGTCCAACTCAAGGATCGAGAGAACCGAGGCATAACATCGTATAGCTGATGGCCATGTGGGGAGATATCCCACAATGCCTCCAAACGAGAGGCATAGTAGCGTCTGATAGAGGTCCTGATAGTTCTGTGGGAATGGGAAACAGGGAGGACCTCAAACAAATCATGGTCGTTAGCTACATTCCGAGCAATGGTATCTGCCTGGTCATGCTCAGTGGTGTCAATGTGACCAGGGATCC